TCTACAAATTCTTCTTTCAACCTGTCAATACACATAAAATCTTCTCAAAAACCTAAGATCTCTATAGCTACTCAATTAATATGATATAAGAGATTAGAACATTCATTGAAAATCATCATACAAAAGCTTGTAAATGATGCAACTGATGTTCAAATCATCAAACTAGAAGATGCTGCAGATGAGCTTATCACTGAGCTTTGCAAACTCTGTCATCTATCTAATGCAAAAAATCAAATATCTAGATATTCTCACATTAGATCTCAAATATCATTCAAACACCTACACATAGATATCATACATGGCTCTACACAGTGCTATAATGATAAGTGTTATCTCATACATTTTATGTGTGATTATCTACATTTTCATATAACTATAACAGCTATTTGAAAATCAGATATCTGAAAAGCTCTTAGATAAGCTATTAATTGAATTAAACATCAATTCAACTGTACTATAAAGATCATTCATATCAATAATAATACTGCAATCAAGAAAGCAGATGATTTCATAAATTAAGTGAATAATGAGAATCTAGAGATGAAGTATTCTTCAGAGTATATTCATGAATAAAATGATGCAGCAGAGTGAGCAGGAGTAATATTAATAACAAAGACAAGAACTCTACAGATAGAATCTCTTCTGTCATAATCACTATTCTCTGAGATTGCACTTGCTGTCATCTATCTAGCAAATTGAATCTCAACTAGAATCCTAGATTGGAAGTCATCTCTACAAGTATTGAAAGAATTCCTACAAATCAAACTGCACTTCTGTGCTCATCTTCAAATCTACAGATGTTGCACCTATGCAAAGATACCAGATGAAGTCCTCAATAGAAACTGCTCTCAGAAGCTAGATCCCTGAGCACATATTGAATATCTAGTTGGATATGATTCAATAAACATCTATTAAATTTGGATTCCACACTTAGAATGGGTGATAAGAGCAAGAGATGTGATGTTTGATGAGAATAGAAAATTCAACTCAGAAGACCCCTACATCAAAAGACAACTAAGAGATTGGGTATCTAAGAAGGTGGAGCTTCTACATATGGAAGTTCAAGAACCATCAATGACTACTATCAATCAATTGGAAGAGATTATAGATGCAGATATTGATGTTTTCCGCCCCGAAGAAAATGCTCAAAGCTCTGAAAAAATAGGGGAGGAAAATAACGTTTCGATCCTTCCTACACCAGATCCAACGCCAGAGCCAACAGGTCCTAATGTTGATACAGGTCCCAATATTGATATTAATACTCATCCAGCTGTGATAGATAATCGTACACGGAACAGCAATGTTGATATCAATACACATACAGCTGCGATAGATAATCGTACACGAGCCCGAAATCACAGAGCTGCCCACCTTGTGACAGTTGCAAATGCCAAAGCCAATCCTTTTCAAATGATCAAAGATGCATTCTCTCATTCACATTCACACACAGACTTCAACAAGTCTCAATATTTATTTCCAAATACTGTTTTCACAGTTATCAACAATACAGCTACATCAACAGCATCCATACCGACTTCAAGGATCCATAGATCTCAACTGCCAGATCCACCGAACCACTGGGCAGATGTTGAAAAACACCCACATCGCGAAGAATCCGAGAACGCTAGGCTTCACCTCTATGCCAGAGGATTGCTGCCTCTTCTCAAATGATCGATTAATTGTCTTCTTCTATGTGGATGATATCGTCATCCTATCCCGATGGGAGGATTCAGATGAAAGATATCAATCCGAGAACGTGTTCAATCCGGCGATATTACAGTTGATTGGGTGCCTACGGCCCAGATGCCAGCGGATGGCCTCACTAAGGCTCTGCCACGCCAGAAACATACAGAATTCGTCAAGATGCTAGGCCTAGTTGATATATCAAATATCATCGAGGCGCAAGCAGAATAAATGGTCTATCTTGATGTAATCTCTACAGATTCATCTACACTCTTTTTGTTACAGATTCATCTACACTCTTTTTGTTGCAGCTTCATTTACACTTTCATTTACATGTTACATTCGCTGAAGGGGGTGTGTCAGGAAAAAGAGGTTATACACTACTGAACACCACCAACATCGTATTACTACAATATTTCTCATCATCATCAGCTTACTACAACGCTCATCTAATACTCGCTTATGCTAGCTCTCTTGGCTCGCACATATATTTTACTATAAATAGCTCCATCTTTTGTATGAAATAGATATATTAGATAGTGTACGGATAATATAACAAGCAGATCTTGATACAGATAAGATTCATATGTCTTCAACATATTCATCCGTGACACCCAATCCGACACACATTCAACATGAAGAGTAATGTGAGTTCAAATCAACTCATCAAGAAAGTTTCGAGTCCGCTGAACAGGCTCGCAATTGGCTGAGTGAAGATAGCGTGTTTTAATGTCAGGATTCAGCTGCTCACTCTGAGATTGGATACCATTTCACAAGTCCCCTATGCTCAGCACTCGTGCCGCGACCTGGTATGTTTGCCTAATTAAGTTACACGCGATATTTGGCGGACTCATGATTCTCACCCGCACGCAGATCCTTCACATTTGGATCCATTCTCAGGTTCAACAGTAATCAAGATCTCCTCATTGAAGGTTTTATGAAATAGTGACTCACATCAGTAGAGAGCTCTACTCCGTAGACCCTGGGACAGTCTCTATACTCAGGGGGCTCTATACTCAGAGGAGACTCTATCCAGGGGGTTTCTATATCTGAGAGTCTCTATACTCAGAGATCTCTATAGTCAGGGGTCTCTATACCTGGAGGGATCTCTATAATAATGAGTATTATGTGGAATAGAAGATATACTGGTGCTTTCGAATTGACTATCCAATAACAGAATGGCCGGCTGAGTAATCCCTGCCAACCTGGCAAGCAAACGTAAAAAGCGTGAGGAAGCCGACGTACAGTACAAATCCAAATTTCGAATATTGAGGTCATCTAGAACGCGCTATGTGTTTTGCTACAGAATAGCCGCTGAACAACCACGCGCTAGTCCTCCTTTGAATGTACGATTCGATCTCCACAGGAGCCTTGGGGGACAAAACGAAGGCCGTCCGCGAAAAACTTGCAATCAACTTTGGCATGGCCTCCATTCCATTCTATGCCGAGGACAGGGAGTGTAGTGTGGCAAAAAGTTACCTACACCACAGGCAGATGAGGCGTATATGTGGGCAAATGAAATGGTTGAGAAGGGGGTTGCTGGGTGAAGACATTCAATTCCTAGCTGAGGTCTTAAACCCTGATCTGGATGCACGCTTGACTGTGCCTGAGATCCTTGAGAGTGAGTATTTGGAATGCTGGTATCTTTGCATATCTCCTAAATTCCAATTGTACCAATTGCCTTGCGATGGGTCCAAACACACAAAGTTTATCTTAAAGGATATTTTTTTAGACATTGATAGATTATTTCTAAGGCTTAGATAGCGGTCCGAAGCCTGACAGTGTAGTTTGATATGACGTGATGTGGTTCTTGAAGATATTTTCGAAGATATTTATCATGGACTTGCAGGGCCGAGGCCTGACATAGCTGTGTGTAAGGAAGCTCAATTGGAACTATCAAAAGACTATGCACATGTACATGTACAAGGTGCTAGACCTGAGAGAAGAATAGAAGAATCTCTTATTAGAGCTTTGAACATGTGTAGATAAACTGTTAGAGCTTGGGACTATGAGATGCTTGATAGTTTTTCTTCCTTCTCTTTCTTTCTTTCTTGATTTGCGCTATGTTTTGTTATTAGAATCAAGACTTACTCTCGGATAGCTAGCTATATTAATTTTATTCTCTAGATGGTTGAGTGAGTACAATCTCATTAAATGAGAGTTCATAGAAGTGTGTTCTCAGACATGCTTAGAATAGGAGATATATACCTGAGCCAGGATCTGAACATGCTGTGTTTCAAAGATGGGCTTCTATGCTTGTCCGGATTGATTTGTTGAGATTGAAAAAAAAAAACATGTCAATAAATCGGTTTGATGCTGGGTGATTGATTGGCTCAAATGAGAAGGAGGAGGTAGGAGATTTGTCTCAGCTTTCTCTTGTTGCAGTTTACCATTGTTGGAGAAGAGGTGATAAGCTGCTATACATTGTTGATTGTTCGGAGTAAAATATTATCTGATATGTCATGTCCCCTCTCTATACTCTCTGCAAAACTCTAATAATATAGTACGGAGTAATTGAAATGTAGTGGAAAGGTGCATACAGAGTACAAAGTAGTTACAACAGCAACTTCCCGTTTAATACAGCGGCCCATTCAGGACCACAACACAACTTCTTGGTCCAGAACCCAACCACCGCGAGACCTGAGACTTGAGAGTGGAACTTGCTCCATACAAAAAATGCGGGGTGCAGGGTTAGCGCCAAGCGGGCCAGGCAAAAAGAGGAGACAAAGGACTAGCGTTTGAACTAACTAACCTAAACGGCGACAGCATTTGTTATGGAAATAGAAATGGGTGGCGTGAGCAGGATGGTGAGAGGAGAGATATATTGGATTTGTTATTGTGGTGAAATGTACGGAGTAGGGGGAATTATAAGTTATTATATTGTATAACTATATATAGTTATATATATACAATCATAAAGAATAGTATAGGTACTCACACCAAGGAACAAATTTCATTTAATAACATTTGGTCTAGCCCAGATGTACCCGGGAGGTACCCTTTCGCCGCTGGGAACACGCCGCGGGTACACGGGCTCTACAAATGCACAGATCCATGGACGGCTTGATCCAGACCTAGCCGCAATTAATAATTAGGTTACTTCCCCAGGCTACTTTGCATTAGGGGAAACCATAGCCGGGTACTTGGATGGTACGTCATTGACAAGCGGCAGGAGTATAGCAGCAGCCGGTCACCCCGGGGTCACCCCAGATGGGCCTTGCTGCCATCCCCGCTTTCTGGCAGTGTGACCACCTGACTCAGCCTCCCCTTGCTCCCTTACTCTGTTGTGCTTCCCCCTTCTCTCCTCTTCTTTCTCCTCCTCCTCCTCCTCCTCCTCCTCATCCTCCTCCTCCTCCTCCTCCTTGTCTCATCGCCATTCGTGCCGTGCCGTGCCTGTGCCTGTGCCTGGTTTCTATCCTGAATCATCTGACTATCACCTACTACTATTTGCTACTTGCTACTTGCTAGCTGCTACCTGCTGCTACTGCCTATCGCTGTATACGTGCTATCCGTGCCTATAGTCAACTCTCACAGTACGTAGATGTCACTGACTGGCTCACTTATCCATAACCTCTCCCATATCTCTCATGTGCTACAGTATACCTTCATATATACCTGCACACTCTCCTCCTTTTTACCCCTTCACTTGGCATCTTCCAGGTACTCTCTCTGTCCTCTTAAACTAACCTCTACCCCTGAACCCTCAAGCACTACCCAACAAACACACATCCCAATTCATCATGTCGGAAGAGCTCTCCAAGGTCGATTCCGCCGTAGCTGGTCTCTCAATATCCCCTCCCAAGGACTCCAAAGACGCCCAAAAGAAGGAAAAGGCTCACAAGCGTGCGACCTCGACGTCGGAAGGCGTCCGGAACATCAATGACCTAGGTATGTCTATCCTTCATGCATAGAATAAAATAAGAATCCATACTGACATCCTATATAGAAAAGGAAGGAATCGAACTAGCCATTGCCCCCGAGACACAAAAGCTCGGCTGGTAAGCATATAGGAATCCTATCGTTACATATGCAGTATGTATATGTGTATTAACCTTTGGGACACCCACAGGAAACTCAATACCCCCCCTTCATCACTCGACGACAAAGAAGTCCTCAAGAAACTCCTCACCACCCCGCCCGTCAAGCGGATAGACCTGCACTTCCCCCTAGGCCTCGAAGTCACCGCCAGAAACCTCAAGGGCGTCACCATCAAGGACGCGCTAGACGCTATCCACAAGCAGTTCAAGAAGAAGGTATATCTCCTCTTTCCTAAACAGAACACGCCATACATACATGTATATTTATATATATAGTGTGTATACCATATACCTAGCTAACCACATATGGAAAAAACCCAACAGGCCGACGACGAACTCGACAACCCCATCCTCGCAGGCTTCGAGTGGGATAAGGAGGAGTCATGGACCCGCCTCATCGTCCACCAGAAGAAACAAGGCGCCCCCGTCAGCTCGAAGAAATCCAAGAAGAAAGGCGGCGATGAATGAGCTACCACAAAGACGTAAAGTAGAGGTAAAAGAGTTTATCTTTTTCTACTTTTTATTTTAACTATTAACATACACCCATCTCTCTCTCTCTCCCCACTTATGCCGTACTAGTTCTTGAGAAATGAATGTGTTCGATTTGCTAGACATATTCTTGTTTTGTCGTCGGTTTAGTTCTAGTTAGTATTTTGCTAGTTTTGCTAGGAATTTAAGTTGAGGTAGTCATTCATTGATGCTATGTTTTAATCATTTCTTTACCCTGTCTCGGTATCTCAAAAGATAACTACTAACTAACTAGACTTCCATCACACCTCTCTTATCTCATCCACCACTCTTTCTTCACTGAACCACTTGCATCGTGTGGTCCGCTTGCATGGAAGAGGGAGCGGGTTTTTGGTTTATGAATGTATGAATGTAGAAAGGGTCTATATAGAGGGAGAGGTCTTGCGGTCTTTTGAAAACGTTCTTTCTTTCCCCCTTTTTTTTACATGTATATATTCTTTCATATTTACTTTACTTTCCTGAATTTTTCTACTCTCCAGCTTTATTCAACATCGTCGTTCTCTTCGTTGTCGTGGTTATCTCTCTCCATTACTATTCTATGTTCGTGTAATAGAAGGGACGAAGACGGGGGGGTTTCAGTACATCGGGTCAATCAAACTTGGGACCTAGCCTAGCTAGTATTGAAGTTGCTATATCACTCCCTGACTTTCCAAGAAATCGTATTTTGTGATTTGTGTTTGTGAGGTGTGGGTATGTAGTTAACTATTTCAGTATATTTATTCTAATGTTCATGCATCCATTGAAGAATCTCTTTCAAGAAGATGATATTTAATTTAGATCTATGGTTAGTTAGTTGCCGGCTCTAACTAACTAAACAAAATAATACCCAACCCATAGAGCGCCCGCAATCTAGTGGAAGTGGAGTGGGTTGGTTTGAAATTCAATTTTTATAGAAAATAGTTTTCAGGGTCTATTATTTACTAGAGCTAGTTAGTTAACTATCACTAACTAGTGTGGCTGAATAAGCGATTTTTCGCAAAACCACAATTCAGAGTTCAATCACTGACTACATAAAAACTAACCACATCAACACAATCTGACTACCTTCGAAATAAGGGTCTGAAGGGAACTGTTCAGAAACAATAATGCGGTCAGACAGACTCATAGCTGCTAATATTCAATAAGTTAACCCTGGCGCAGTTCTCCATGCATATTTGATACAGCGTCAGCGCCCCGTCGAAGTCGTCCAGGTTCCGGAGATGCGATGCCTTCAGGTTTTGGATTTTCAGAAGCTGAGCATCTAGCGGAATTTGTTGTACCCACGCTCAACGGTATCGAGCAAGCGGGTGATTTCTTCAGGGCTCCTACCAAGTCCATCGTGCAGGACCAACAGCTTCGCCAAGCTACGCATGGCATGGCATACAGCAACCTGAGTTCAATGTCAGGGTGGCCATCAACGTTGGGCAGCTTCTCCTTCCCCTTATTCTTTGTATACAAGCTGATTGAAAGCTTGAGAAGGGCTGCTGCGACACAATCGTCTGTCTGACCGCCAAACCTTAAGCACCCCCAGCTGGCGAATCGCCCAGGCAAGATTGTCATCCGCCGCAACAGCGTCACTCGTGACAATGTCTTTCTGAACATATTTATTGAAACACAGGTCCAGTTGGGCCCTGATTTCCTGTTCGTATATCCATTCGCATGACTCGCGCGTGTCGCCGTTTTATCCAACCCTACTAAGCAAGTGACCAATCGTGCGCCATCTCTATAAAGTGCCGCTAGGCTTTTATCTTCATCAAGGAGTATGTGACTAGCCCGTCTATAGCGTTTCTAGGTGAAACTGTTCTATTTCCACAACATGTCAGTGATATCAAAGACAAAGATCCTTAAATAAAAGGGGCAGGGCGGGGCGGGGAGGTGTATGCTTCTCGACTTATGACAGAAGAAGAAGGCTATATTACCGTTTTGAGCGCACTCGATGGCCTCGAGACCGCGGTAGAGTAATTCTTCCGAAATTCCATTTGGGCTTAAAAACGAGCAGAGCCGAAGCAAGTCAAAGGCGTGAGCGTACGATTTGACGAGTTCCTGGATAGATAATTCCCAGCACGAGAAAACACCGCCGGAGAACTTCAAGAATTTCTCGCCGATGAGCCGAGCAATGTTGTTGCGAAGTCTGCCTAGGTATTGCACTAGCCTGAGGGCTTTCTTCTTAATGTAGGCCGCTGCTTGGGAAAGGGCAAGTGGAAGGTATCCGATCATTTCTGCAACTTGTTCTGCTGCGGGTTTTGCTATTGATGGTGAGTGACTTTAACCACTCCATGGGGACAATGATTCCAAAGAAAATAAATAGGGGGGGGCCACCAACCCGCGGGGGAGAACTACCTTCGTCTTCATCTTTAAGAGAATCTACCCGGCGATCTAGAAGCATCTTCACAGAAAACTGCTCCTCCAGCTCTGGGATTTCAATGATCTTGAAGTCGGATAAACGTACCCTAGACGTAGCAATGATGTGTCCATGATCGCAAGCGGGAAGCAATTCCAGCATACGGTCCCCGTCTGCCTCGTCGTTGATTCCGTCGACGACAAGACACCACCCGATATTCGCATCCCTCGCGAGCCATTTACGTACACACTGCCACGGAGATTTGGCAGCATTTCCTCTCAGCTGGCCCTGACGATCGATTTGCCCCGGAATCTGAAGGTCTGCTGCAATACTACCAAACTTCTCTTCCCCGGGGTACTTCTTCGCATAATGAGTTATCAATTTCGTCCATGATTCGATTGGCACTGACGTCAATCTACTTGCGTTGCTGATATCAACCCAGAAGACTGTGCTATAGATATTTCTGTTGCGACGGACGTATTCAAGGGCTGTCTGGGTCTTTCCAATTCCACCAATGCCTTGAAAAATAACCATTGTCCGACGGCACGGATGATTTTTGTTCTCTAGCATCGTCAGATTCAGGATCGTTTGGATACTTTCGAGCACGTTCACCCGGCCACAGAAGTAGAACTCCTTAAGAGCGTCCGTTGCTTTAGTCGTCGTGGCTATCATCTGTGCTGGAATGACAGAAAGCAGCTCCAATGATGCCGTAGTGAATCTCTGGCTCGGTGGAATCCCGATTATCTCGCTGGATTTCCTGGTCGGAATCGCAGTTGCTGCAGCCGAAGCCATCAATATGTGAATAGGATGCTTTGAAGAACCGGTCATTCTCTTTTCCCTGGTGTACATAACCAGGTCAACCGGGTGTCGACTTGGACATGCGATGATTCCTGCCCCCCATCTCTTCAAGAAATTCAGCAACTTTCGACGGTCAGATTTCATGCTGAGCCTGCAGCTTAGCCAGTGCGTTGAGGAGGACTTCCGGCGGCATGTTGAGAATTTCCTTGCGCTCGAAAAGACCTCCTTTCTTTGCCTTTTTAAGATCATACTGGACTCCGCCGTTTTGCCCATCAGGCTGGCTAACGACAATGTCACCAAGTCGGATATCATAGCCGCATTCCAGCCTTGGGACCTCAGCCCCAATGCCTACCATGAGCCCGAACTGGACCTGCGGAAAGGAAGACAGCATGGACATTGCAGTAGTTGTCGCTGAGGTGCTGCCATACACCCCCGCTGCATGCGATGCCATAACCACGTTGTGCTCCCCAACTCGGCCCCCCAGGTGTAGGAGTTCCTGTCCGACGGAGACTGCGCGAAATCGAGCGTCTTTCCGTGCTACTCATCAAGCATCGCAGTTGCCGCTGCAAGTTCCAGTGGAAGTGCTGCGATCCATCCTTTGGTCTAGTGGTAGCGGCTTTCTAAGGCCTTCACGGAGGCCATTATGCGCAGGCAAAAAGCCTGATGTGAGGCTCAGCTTAGCAATTTTGTAGCAGCTCACTATACCTGAGGCCATTTAGCACCGGTGTACACCAATTCAAATCACTTACTCACGACAGTTGGATGATTTGGCTTAAAATGGTGTCCGCTGGAGGTAAGGTCTGAGAAGGGGGGCGGCTGGCAGAAGAGAAGACACTGCTACATGCGCATGCGCGAGGTGACTGTAGCTCGCCACAGAACCAAATGTGGGGGTCAATGTACATACATGTATAGTACATGTAGCAAAATGATTGATTGGGGACTTTAATGTAAAGTGATATGTGTGATAACCTTGCAGCCACATGTGTCATCAAGAGTGAAAAGCGGATGGCTCAATCATCGTTTAACAAGCTATGTCTGGCCTGGGCTTTGGTTGTTTTTGATTCCGCTGTTAGCTGGAGAGGGACTAGAGTGGAGAATCAAATTCTGACAGCGAAAGGCCCCGACAAGGTACCTACCTACCTACTTACCTTAAATGAAGGTTTTAAACTTGCTCGGGGATAAGAAAGAATATATTTGGAGTCATATCTAACTTCCAGAGCTTCAAGCTATTGCGCATCTATTTTTCCAATCTTCGGGAAAAAAGGGGGTGGCGGAGGGAACCTTACTGCACCTATTTAGTTGTAATGGGATTTAGTGAGAAAGGAGTTTCTCATATGAATTCTTAACTATGGAGAAGTGAGTATAAATTGGGACGGAAATCGAAGCCTGGCAAGGAGGGCCTAGGGCGAAAGTGAATTAAGGAAAAGAAAAATGAAGAAGGGAAGAAAATAAAGACATTGTTCAGATAGATGGAAACCACCGCTGCAAAAATAGACGCGAACGGGGAAAAAAAAATATAAAAATAAAAATAAAAGAATTAAGTCCAGGACTTGTCAGTTATATGTATCCACATTCACACATTACTCATGGCATTATCACATTTTCTCATACAAACACAACCTCCTACACTACCAAAAGCTCCCCCTCTCTTCCTCTACAATAATTGTAATCTCATCTAACTCCCCCACCCCCACCCCCAAACAACACAAACACAACCTCATCCAAAATCGTGAAAACCAAATGCGCATTCAACCTCTGATTATTCGTCGTTGCAAACAGCCTCCTCGCTGCCGCTTGCGCATTCGCCCTCCCAACCACGCTCGCCGCAAGATCCGGCACCAGCGTCGCAAGCATAACACTCGCCTCCGTACGACTTTTCATCTTCTCTGCTAAACTCCGCGGCTTCGCTTCGCGTAACTTACGAAATCCATCACCGCCTGCAACTGCACCGGCAGCACCATCGCCAGCAGGAGCAGGGGCAGGAGCGGTAATAGGCCACAACGTGTCCTTCGCCAGATTGATATAGCGCAGCAACGACGAATCATGCACGAGCGCGCGGGCGGACTCGCGCACCTTGCGCTCCACGGTGCCGCCGAGAAGCTGGTGGAGGACGACGACGACAGCACGCCCGCGCAGCCAGTTGTTGCCCCTGTTCAGCTCGAAGATTTCGAGAAACATGTCGCAAATGGGTTTCACAAAGGGTTCTAGTTCGCGGTCTTCGAAGGCGTTAAGTTCGGCTTCGGCTTCGGCAGCGGTGACGGAGTCTTCGGGGTTTATGAGGAGGTGGTCGGGTTGCGTGGTGGGGGTGTTGGTGTTGGTGGTCGCAAGTTGGTTTGTGGCGGCGGAGATGAGGTTTTGACCTGCTGTTGAGAGCTGGTCGAGGACGGTGATGTTTCCTAGGAAATCGTCCATGCCATCGGCGACGGAGTTGTAGATCCGCGTGACGAGGTCTTTGTTTTCTTCGTGGAGATCATGGTGGGGAGGGTGGTGGTTGGAATCATCGGAGGCGATGATGGCGCGTTGGGATAGGAATGCACGCAGATCACGGCTTCGACATACCTCGGGGAGGAGGAGAAGTTGCTGGAGGTAGGCTTCGAGGGCGAGACGGCGTTTGTGGAGGAAATCCTTTTGGAGTTTCATTACCATGCGTCGGCGGGGGAATTCTAGGTTGCGGACGGAGGGGTATCTCATTCGTAGTCGGTGGTGGAGTTCATGGAATTCGCTATAACGGCGAGGAATTGCCCAGGACGCAGCGGACATCTGGTCTCCCGAATTCCTCTGTACCTCGATAAGGTCTGGGTTTGGTTAGCAATTTTATGTCAATTTCAGTAGAGTGCGAATCCTAAAGGCTGACATACACAATGCGTATTCCCTTCCATCCTCCTCCTTCCCAACCATTATGGATTTGATTTGGACAGTGGACCGCCCGTACAGACTATTATCGCTTTCCTGGATAATGTATTGCTGCCTCTGCATCTCCTTCCGGCGAAGTTCACGCTGAAGACTCGACTTGGATTTCCTTAATATACGCAACTCCGCGGTATTATTAGTTAATTCCGCCTTTCTGGTGAGAGTGTCAACAACAGCCTCTTGAGCGATGAGCTTTTCTATATCAGATGTCAAAGCAGATATAGCTTCAGCCAAACCAAGATCGCCAGGCGCCGCTTCATGGATCTCTTCCGCAGGATCTTTTTCATCCTCTTGTGTCTCTGGGTCTGCATATTCATCCTCGATAAACTTTTCCTCGTCTGAAAATAGGTCGTTATCGGCAAATACTCCAATCCTAGACGAGGTATTAACAAGGCCCAATGAAGCAATACTTGGTTTTCCCTTCTCCCCCGCTGGACCGTTGTCAAGTTGTGGAGACTCCAATGAACTCCTTGATGAATCTTGATCTCTGCTCGGATGTAAAAGGGAGCTTTTTGTGTCTTCTAGTCTCGAATCATTCGGCTCGTTGGTAATAATATCATTCAAAGCGGCTTCCATAGTTTCTATTACACGACGGGAGTGACCGTCCCCTCCATCCCCATTCTGAGAATCTTTTCCGATACTCTGGGTCGATGCTACTAGAGGGTCGGTTTCCGGGTCATCATCGAACAACGGAGCTCGATCCGAGTCTAGTGATCGCCGGAGGAAGTGAGAGTCATTTAGATGTTTAGAGGATTTCAATAAATCGGTTGTAGAAACAGCCGCTCGTAATAGATCGTTTGGTTTTGTGTTTGACTGCGGGGAAGCTGCGCGGCCTATAAGGGGCGGAAGCGGGCGCCGTTCAGAGCCTTCGGAGCCTGCTGATCGGTTGATAGTCGGCCGTTCCGGGTGGGGGATAGAGGCGGAGGCGGAAGCAGCTTCATCAGAAGCCAAGTATTTATAGTAGAGATCCGACTTTTTAAAGTCAGGATAGTATTTATTTTGCATTTCAAGTAAAACAGATGTTTGTGTCGTGAGAATGACCGTTCGTGCTTTGCGGTATTGTGCTGGGGTAGCTCGCTTTCCAGCGTTGATGAAGTCTTTCACGGCCTGTCTAGATTCAGGGGGAACCCGTAACTCAGGCTTCGACAGATGCTGCTCGCTGATCAGCACGACATCGTTCCTATCGGCCGTTGTCCATGTCACAGCGTTAGAGGGGGTGTCATCACCAAAGTCATCTTCAAGAGGATTTCGGACCCCGTCAACGACGACCCAAAACTGGACTAGGGACATGAGGTTCAGACGATCCATATACTCCATAAAGTATGAAAGCCCGGCTGCATTGTGCATAACATCCACCAACGATACTTCTTGAGGATTCGAAATGTAACTGTAGCGGAGATCAACTGGATTTACGGGAGTAGTCTTTGACTGGCCAGAGAGCGCTGAAAGCTTCGAAACCTTCTGATCTAAAACCCGCTTCCCTGTTTCCAGGCGGCGTAGATAAACCTGGTCTTGGCCTTCGACCATGCTCTCCCGTTTCAGTTGGCTGGCAATTTGGCTTCTGAACCTCCTCGCATCTGACAAGATGTTGCATCGCCGAATAACTCGGACAAACCGCTCAAATTCTCTTTCACTATCGCCCGGCCTTAGCCTGGGGAATGTTTGGTTTTGTTTAGTCTTTGGAGCCGGCGAGGCATGTTGGTCCAGGGCTGCACGCAGTTTCCGCACTGTCTTGCGGTCTTGCAATGCTGTGCGCGCATAGGCTTCCATCAGCTGGTTCCAAGTATCAGGGTCGGAGAGCAGCGACATCAACGGGTATAGCACGGCACAGGTGACAATCTCCCTGATCAAAACGGCAACCGCCCGGCTGTTCATTAAACCTTCTGGCAGCAGTTGTGGGAGAAGTGTGACAACTAGCTTGCGGAGGTGCTCTTGCTGAACCTGTTTTGGGTCCGAGAACGAGGATAGAGATATGGCAGGATGTAGATTTCCATCTCTGTATCTACTCGCAATTGCAATCTCCAGCTCCTCCGATTCAGTCACGGTGCGCGACAGGTTTCTACCTCGAACTGCCCTCTCAGCTTTGTCGAAATCCCTGAAGTGGCTCGTCAAAATCGGGACAATCCGGGATACTAGGATTTCCACCAGGTCTTCCCTGAGCAGCCTGTCCCTTAAATTTCCTAGCACAGCTCTTATCCCTCGATCAACTTCACTGATAAATCTTGGATTGCCGCTTATATCCTGATACCATGATGAAACAAAATCCCTTAGCGCGAGGTCGAGGAGCTCACTAAGCGCTTCGGAAACAAGGAACGACCGAGGGTACAACGGGTCGGGGCGATAATCCACGCTCTTCTCGTATATCCTGACATCTTGTTCCCATTTATCGGGGGAGAGGAAGGCGACGGAAGTGCCAGCCAAACTGGCTTTATTTGCTCTCCACTCATTTCCACTTCGCACGGTCAAAAGGACAACGGCACCCAGGCAAGCGGCGGCGATAGAGAGACCAACGACGAAGGCGTATCCGATGTAGCGAAGCACGGGGAGCCAGCGCACGGCCAAACCCCATGCGATAAAGCCGCTCAAGCTGGCGATGGTAAGGTCACGGCGACTTAGGGCCATTCTCCCCAGCACAAGCTGACCCCATGCTGTCAATTTGACAACTTCATGAAAGGGAATAATGCAGCAGAGGCATTCCTCGCTCGCTTTTTCTTTGTGTTCTCTCTTCTCCTTTTTTCTCGGACCCTCAACAACAACAACAACAACGACGACGACGACGCTAGTTAGCTTGGATAGTGCGGTGAATGCTCAGTTACGTATGGATAGCGGTCAGCACATGGGAGCGTGGCAGCATTCCTAGGTAGCAGAATTAAAACATGAATTAGCCCGGCTAGTAGTAGCAGCAGAAGGGGACTAATGGTCCAAGGCTAAGAAAGTGACTGTGGCATGTGAAGCACTAACTTAATTAACTTCCCTTAACCAAATTATAAAAGTTGAAGTTGAAGTCCGGGAGTCTGGCATTTCCTCTTTGGGCCGTGGAGAGAAGACGCTGCTTATGTAAGTTCTGCTTATCAGATCGCCGAGATGTCTTTGTATAGATGATAATATTATTATATATATCTGGTGAGAAATGCGATGCAAAATAGAAGATATTTTAAAAATAATTAATCGAAGTCATATATCTCTCTACCCAGCCCCAGTCAAAACCTCTGCAGAAGTACGCTGCCCTGTTTGTACCTAGTTAACTTCCCAGGCACAACACAAAAAAAGAAAAAACAAAACAACAAAAACATCAGTAATTTTCCAATCCTCCGACAAAGTAATTCCTCCTAACCGAATCCCCTCTCTACTTACCTCACCTTGATCCCAAGGACGGTTATCCCGAAAATGTCCTCCCTCTCAGATTATGTCGATTTCTCCCAAAAAAGCCTACATTGTAAGAATTTGTACCCACTTTCATCCATATCATATCATACTAAGACTAACCTCTGAAACCTGGCCCCAACAACAGTGGCTGCCGTCGCCATAGCGTTCAATCCCATCTTCTGGAAGTAAGAACCTCCCTGATCGAGCAGACAAAAAGAAAAGAGGTATGCCGTAAGAGTTATATAGAGCTAACCAATGTGCCAACCACAGCATCGTCGCCCGTCAAGGTCCGTCCTGCGGCCCCCCAAGTAACAAAATATTCAAAACTCATCTGCCTAGAGCAGCGCATATACATGTACTCCACTTCATAAATGAGAGAATATAAAAATAACAACGAAACAACAGAATACCGCAACCACTTCCTAACCCGCATCTTCGGCAGTGCCTACAACGGCTGCTACGCCCTCGCCTTCGCCATCTTCTCCCTCGGCATATTCCGCGACCACCTCTACAACCAGGCGCTGGCCGACCAACCTTTCTACCAGCCCGTCACCCAGCCGTATCTCGCCTATGGCCTCTTTGCCGCGGGGAACACGCTCGTGCTCTCCAGCATGTGGGCCCTGGGCCTCACGGGCACGTATCTGGGCGATTACTTTGGGATCCTGATGGATGCGCCTGTGACCGGGTTCCCCTTCAATGTCACTGGTTCGCCAATGTACTGGGGTAGCACCATGAGCTTTTTGGCCGTGGCGTTGTATAAAGGGAAAGTGGCCGGTTTGCTACTGACGCTTGAGGTGTTTGTGTGCTACTGGATTGCATTGAAGTGGGAAGAGTGAGTGCCCCCCTCTCCTCCTCCTCCTCCTCCTCCTCCCCCTCCTCCTCCCCCCCTTTTTTTTACCCCTTATTATGCTGCCTTCCCATCTACAAATTTTATCCCCGGATCAGAATTAACAGCTAATAACCGTCACCCAACACAGTCCCTTCACCGCCGAAATCTACGCACAGCGCGAACGAGACCGCGCCAAGTCCAAGAAAGGCGGCAAGCGCGCTTGAGTCGCCCTCACTTCCATCCCATCCGCTGCTGGAAGGAAGAGGATTGGAAAGAAATAATGCCCAAAAAAAACAGCTTTTTTCTGGCAACCCCCGAACCCTGATCATCGACTAAGGACTTCAACGTTCCATCCCTGTCGATGATGGATCAAAATATCTGTCTGACTCGCCTAACACCCTACGCCGTCTTCTCTTTGTTTATCTGTGATCGCTCTTGTTATATACTTACTACGGCTATGCAACATATATATATACGTATATGGATAGGGCTGGGATATAATTATACTCAAGGTACATAAAATCTTCATGCGGTTCGAATGTTTTATGTTTTGTTTTTGTATCGAGCGCCCGTGTGTTTTGCTATTTTATTTTCATGTTCAGGAGGCGAGAAGCAGGGGGTGGGATATAGGGTTCCCGTAGTAGAAGAGATGTGGAACGAATTTTTTTTTTCTTATTATTATATATATGTATCTTCAACGATCAATTGCGCTCTTTTTTTATTTGAGATGTGGGGTGGGCTGGATGGTGCGGAGCAGGGGACGCGAGGGAGAGAGGAGGGTGGGAAAGGGGTAGAGAGCCTTCTTCCTTCTTCTTCTTCTTTTTTTTTTTTTTTCATTATTCTTATTTAGCAAATATAGATGGAGGTATACGGATGATCGGGCGGGATGGGATGGGTTATTAAATGAATGATAATGTTACGAGAAATGGAATAGGGAAACGTGGTTGTGGGCTTATATGTATATCCCCTGGTTACCATCTGTAAATACATAAAAAAGATGAAAGGTAGAGTTATGCTAGTGTCAATGGAAAGGAGAAAATAATTTACCACTTTCCAAGCTAATTGATACTCTTTCATCAACGCGAGCATCTTCTGCTAACTTACAGTTACCCATGTGTACACATAACTATAGCTATCCTAGGAGAGATGGGAGCACCTAGGTAAGCGGCGGGCGATATACCGTATAGAGAGAGGGGTTACATTTAATTCAAAATGAGAATAGAAGAGAAGTCATTGAGTTTTTGCCTTTTTACCAACGTAACTGGGAATCTTCACGCTGAGATTGATGAAGTATATGAAGGATATAGAAAGAAAAAGCATTCAGTTTTTATCGTTACAAGGTCCTCTCCTCTGGTGGACCAGCAGGAAGAAAATGGGAGGTCACCGGGAAGATGAACAACGCAAAAGCCAAAGCAAAAAGCACCCAATCGACCTACATTAATAAAAGCCAAAGCCGCCTTGGGTGGGTGGAAGATTAGATAGAAAGGGAAGAGGGAATAGGAATAGAGACTTAGGAAAGGAGACGGCGAGATAAAGATAACAATGATGAAGAGGGAGAGAGAATGGTAGGGTACAGAGGAGGGGAAAAGAACAAAAAGAATAAAAAACGGTTCGCTAAATCCCTAAATCACCGACGATGAGCAGAAGAATACCAACAGGGGAAAAGCGAGACGGGGAAGAAAAATCAAAAAAAAAAAAATAAAATAAAAAAAATGAGAGGCTCCGCCCTATCTGCCTATATCTCAGATGTTTTGCACGTTCATATTTCATCAATCAGTCAACCAATCCATCCATCCATCCTTCAATGCCATCCCAGTTCAATCTTATCCAATCGAATCCAGCTAAAAAAAAGTCCAAAAATCCCAACCTCAAAATCGAAGAAAATAAAAGAAAATAAAAGACAAAAAGAAAAAAAAAAATCAATCACGTCCTCCGTCCCCTCCCCCTCTTCCCCGACCCCGTCCCCGTCCCCGTCCCTGACCCACCCCCCCCCCCCCTCCCTTTATCCACCCCACCATCAACCCCATCCTCATCAGCCCCCTTCCCCAAATCCCCCCCATCCCCCAACCCCCCCTGGCCCCGATCATACCAATCCCCCCCATCCCCCAAATCCCCCCCATGGCCCCCCGCTTTACACCCCTCCCACACCAGCTGCTTCTTCCGATACGCGCCCAGCAGCATCTGGTACATGCGCTGCGACGCACGCACCGTCTCTTCCTGCTTCTGGATATAGGACCAGAGCATACGGCGGACTTCGTCGGCTTCAGTGGGGGGAAGGCCGCAGGTGCGGTCGAGGTGGGTGGGAGGGAGGACGAAGATGGGGTGCATGGTTAAGGGGTCGTTGGCTGTGGAGGAGGAAGGGGTGTCGGAGCGGGCGGTGTCTGAAGAGGTTGGGGTTGTGGGTTGGTTTGCGGCTTGGTTTGCGCGGGCGCGGGTGGTCATGCGGCGTGGGGGTTCGGGAGAGGAGATTCCTTCGTCGTTGCCGTCGGCTGCTTCGTCTTCTGTGCGGTCACCGTCTTTATCTTTATCCATGTTTATGTCATCTCCGTTGGCAGTGGCGGTAGCATCAACGGGGGTGCTATCCTTAGGTTCTTCTTTGGTTTTGAGAGGATCTTCGTCGGTAGTTGCTTTCGACGATTGTCCTTTTGCCTCCGCGTTCTTCGATATGTCATCTCCATTTATAGACTCTGGAGGAGATACAGCCTGCCCATTTGGTTTGGTGGGCTCATTCATAACCTTCTTCTCGGGATCAACTGGGTCCTTCTTCTCCAGCGGCTCCTCCGAGGCATCACCCATCTCAACATCATGACCAGCATTGCGCTGCGCGGCAGACACGCCATTGACTGCGTAATCCAAGGCGTCGTGATTCGGCACGCTTGTTGCGAACTTATTCCCTGTCTGGAGAGCCTGATCCACAGCCGATCCTCTGCGCGAGGATTGGCCCGATTTACCCCTCCCATTCCCGTGTTTTGACGAGGGATGGCTATTAAATCCGTAATTCGGGTCAAATATATTTCTATCGTCCATGGTCTCCAAAAAGCCGCAAGGCATCCAAGGTGCATCGCCCAGCAGCTCCCTGTGTAGTCTCTTGGCCTTATGGAGGATCTCCTGCTCCTGTCGAAGCTTTGCGTTGGCATTGTCCACCATCTTTTGTAGGCTTTTGGAGGTATACGGATGGGACATGGATGGGTGGGTCGCGAGTTGGGAAGGATGTTTCAGAGGGCCGAGGAGTTCTATGAACGAATGAAAAAAATGGAGTTAGGACATATCTGATCCGTATTGAAGAGGAATAACAAAATCCCGCGGGGTTTTGTATCGGATACAGCAACCTACCTTCCAGGTGTATCTCCCCGAACGGATTTTCGTCCGCCAATTCAGGATCGGCGTGTTCCTCCGCGTCTTCTTCATCCAATTCATCGCCCTCAGAGTCATATTTGGGCGGATTGCGTTCTAATATATCCCTCGTATAACCGGCATGATTGATCCTCTATCAAATGAACAAAAATGATGACATCCCGTATTAGCTTTCTCGCTCTTCGAAGCGCAAAACACAAAGAATTTTTTCTCTTTTATTCTTTCTCCCATACCTTTCTATAAAACTCCAGCCCATCCATGAACCCAAGAGCTCCCTCATGAACATATTCCGCATTTATCCTAAGTTTATTTCCGCGATTCGTGGGTTGTGTGATGGGGGTCGTCGACGCCAGTAACTAACAGAAGGGAAGAAAAAAAATCATATGTCAGCCAGATCCAGATATGAGCAGAAGTAAAAGAGGTTAACAAGAAAAAAAAAAAAAAATACAAAATACACAAGCGGAAAAGCGAGAGAGGAAGAAAACCACAAACCTGACCGCTGCCGCTCAAGCGCCCTCTTCATCGCGGTGATGGTGTCCGCGATCATAGCTGCTTGAACCGCCATCTTCACTGAAAAGGGGGGGGGGGGGGGGTGGGGAGGGAGAAAGGCAGCGGGAATATATAGATGATGCTGAATTGATGATGGGCTGGTTATCCTGTCCCGGCTCCCACGCGCGCGCGCCAAAATAAAGACTACTGGGGGTCGGTCCGCTCTGAAAAAGCGGCAGGATTGTATAATGCGCAAGTGAGTGAGTAAGGGTAGGTTTTTCGAAAAGTAAAGGGAAACAGGAAAGACCCGCTGTTTCTCGAGTCCCCTTCGAAAACACCTGTTTCCGGCACGGGGATGGGTTCGAGAACCGGAAGCGTGTACGGTGTACGGTGTACGGTGTATGGTGCTTGCTGGTGGTTGTGGGATGAGTTTTGCGGAAGCTTGCCTGTGTCCGTGTCCGTGTCCCGTGTCCGTCTGGTGGTATTGTAATAAGAAGCAAAAAACAAAAAAAAAAAAAAAAAAACGATTGTTGGTGATTCTCAAGCGGGAGGAGAAATAGCTGCGACCTGCTCACATGGGGGGATTTAATATAAGAATAGATGGGAGAGCGTGTGAGTGATTGAGATGGTGTATAGTCACGGCGCCTGGTGAGTGGTGAGGATATGTAAAAGGCGGAGAGAGGAGAAACGCAGAGGAGAGAGCAGGATCGAGATAGAAGCAAGCAAGTAAGTACCTGGCGTTGGCAGTGCCGCTGGGCCAAGGCAGAGGTACCGCCGTTACCTGCCCGGATTAAAGTTAATGCCGCCAGCTGTGCCGGTGCTGCCCATCTCCTGAACGGGTTTAGCGTCCCGGCTGTTCACTTTATGTCATCGTGCATAAAATAATGCCGTCATCTCTTTATCCGCGGTTTGATAACGGAGTAGAGCATACAGAGTAATATGGCCATATATCGACCACAGCATAGGGAGGATCCACGCGTCTATCCAGTATAAAGGAAAATTCTACAGTGATATGAACCACTAAAAAGAACAAGAATTAAAAATAGCACCAAAGTAACTATCCATGGCCTTACGCTGTCTAAAACAGCACGAAAAACTACGCTCTTAATACCAGACAAAACAGTAACCAGTAACTTACCCAGACCAAAGCCGTAACCACCAATGCAAAAAAAAAAAAAAAAAAAAAAAAAAAAAAAAAAAAAAAGAAAAGAAAAAGAAAAAGAAAAAAAGAAACCCCTTTCCACCCCTCATTCATCCCCAAACCCAAACCCAGGCTTCGACCGCGGCCTCACAACCTGATACCCCTTCTCAAGCGCCAGTTCCACAGTGCACCGAACCCGAACAGCAGCAATAGCAGGCCACGTCCCCCGCTCCCCTTTCAATATCCATCCCCTAAGCTCTTCGTCCCTCATAGGCGGTGCCTTGAATACCTTCAGCAAATCCATCCACCCCAGCTCTGGCAGAATCGTCATATGTGGACCCGGTATATCCTCATAGATTAATAGGCGGCGGAGTGGCGTTGGCAGGAGACCCAGACTATCAAGCTGGCGCAAACGGTGCCGGATTTCCAGACCTATAATGTGGCAGGTGCGCTCGAGGATGACCCAGCGGCGGGAGACCACTTTTCCGGGCTGCTCGACCTCTAGTAAGTATATGGGCACCCGGAATGGTCTAGCTTGTGCAACGATGAAATGGTTCACGTTGAACAGTTCTGATAGGCGGGAAAGCGGACACTCGCGCTCGTTGTAACCGAGTTGACGCCATGACCTGAAGAGGAGACCTTCTGCGTCGGGCCACGGGACGATAGCTCCCGTCTCGTCCTTGCAGTATAGAGTTACCCGTGAAGCCGTTGCGGATGAAACGTTCGACGCGGCTACAGCCGACCATATCAACTGAAATAATGTTAATTACAGAATGAGTTCCCAATAAACATCCAACTAAGGAGTGGAAACAAGTATCTTACCACACTGGGCGCTGTCAGGTAGTTGAGAAGATTTGGAGTCCCTGCTCCCCCAGCAGTTGGGATGGTAATGTTCAGGGAACGCTTTGTCTTCGCAAATGCCTCCTCGAAGGTCATTTCACCAACAGTGGACTTCACATACCCCTCTAGAAGTTTCAGATCTGGGAAATAACAATCTCGAATATACTCCTCAGCCCGTCGGACCAATGAAGACAACCATCCGTATCCATTTTCACGCGAGAGAAGCCTAAGAATCTTGAATCCCTTGGATCGCTTCTGCTCAATCGACTGATCGGAAACAGCCCCACCGATCCCTTCTCCGTTCAACACTGGTATAAGTTCATCATCAGTATGTACCGCCACGAGTGCCGCAACCAGAGCTCCGGTGGCGGTACCGGTGATGATTCGAGGTAACAATCCCCTCAGATACAGTGCTTTAACAACACCTAAATGGCAGGTCCCATATACGGCACCTCCCTGCAGGATCAACGTCGACCTGCCGAACGCCTGTCGGGTGTCATAGAGCAATTGAAATTTATCCTGTGAATCAAAGGCCTTGGGGTCGCGGGGCACGGTTTCAAGAGCAGTGATGTATTCAATGGCGCGTCCGAGTTCCGAGATATACTCTTCGATTAAAAGTTTGGTCCCCGAGTGGGCACGATCATAGAGCTGCGGCGAGATGATGTTGACTAGATTCCTCACCAACCCAGACCGGATAAGATGGACGATGGTCCAGACATCGTTGTCATTTTTCGCTTGTCGGATACTTTGTAATCGCCGTTTAATGACGCGGTGGTCATAGTGGAAGCTATGGTTGCTTTCACGCCTGTAACGTAGACAAAAGCAAGAAGAAGAAGTAAACAAAAGGATCAGTAAACCTGGCCGATAAGGGATAAAAAAAAAAAAAAAAAAAGGATTCAAGCTTAAAAGAAGACAAGAAAAACAAACCAAACATCATTCCCCAACGCCTCATCCAACGCAACCGCCCCAGCCTGCCACTCCTCGAAGCTTTCAGCGGTCGCTACGCGCTTCCTTGCAAGGTCTTCCGGCGACTTCCTAAACCACCAGACATACAATCTCTGCAGCAGACACCAGCCAATGTAAGCGAGATATACCAACGCGGAAAATAATACAAGCAGTAACTGCGAGAGAAGAGAGAAAATAGTGTGTCGTAGGATATCAAAAATAGTAACAGCAAGAGTAGCGGAGGCAACAGCATGGTTTGTTTGTCCCTTCCGCCTACGGAAGAGAGGGTGAGCGTACATGTTTGCAGGTCTGGAAGATGTGCACGAGGGCGGCGAGGGTGGAGAAGATGATATCCCAGCTATGGAGGAGGATGCTGGTGAGGAGGATGGACATGGCTTTGGTGCGTGGCTGTGGGGTGTTGTGTTATTTGTTGTCTTTCTGCGGCGCCGTCTGTGCTGTGGTCGTGCGTGCTGTTGGGATGGGTGCGGGCATGGTGTTGTTTGAGTTTAAACAAACTGGAAAGGACTGCCGAGCCGAGAGGCTTGTTTTCGCCTGTTAGATGACTGACTGATCAACGTCCGCTCCTTTACCTGTGTTTAGCTTTTATTTTGAAGGGAGGGAGCATTGAGGGGGTTTGGTGGATATTGGCATTAGACTTACGCACCAAGGGGGATTTTATCTGTAAGATTTCTGGTTCCTTTTCTTTTCCCTTTTTGTTTTTCTCTTTCCAAAAAGATCTAGACAATAATAGAACACTCTACAAATTCAAGAATTAGCATTTCAGCAGAGGGGCAGGTATAAAGGGCAGTAGCTTGGAAGCTTCATGTGCAGCCCGCCCTGTTTTGGTCCCCTCAACCAAGGCAGTGACACTAGTGCCTCTCCGTTTGAGCAGTGGAAAAAGCGATGTTATGAATATAACAGGCATAGTTTGGCGCCCGGTAGCCTGCCCCTAAATCCCGGAAGCAATCGTTGGGACAGCAATTGTCATATATGTATACGGAGTACAGCTTCTTCAAATGGTTCATGAGGAAAAGAGAGATCGGTGAGGTCATCGGAGGCTCAAGCGTTGTCACATGCTTTTTTACCATTAACTGGTTCTTGGCATCAGGTCTTGGCACGTTATGTTCAAAGGTTGCCTTTATGAGTGGAACGGAGAAATGGGGGGAAATGGAAGAAGCGCATGTCGTTAAAGTAAAATAGGAACGTCAATTAAAAAAACTCCTGCACGGGGAAAAAGTAGGTAAAACTTAAAAGGAAAAAAAAAGGCCAATTAGAAAAAAAGGAAGGGGAAAAAAAAAAAAAGAAAAAAGAAAAAAGAAAGAGGACATGTCCCATTTTCATGTTTAAAAAAAGGAGGAAAAGAAAGAACAGAAAAACGGGCCTGATGATCCGCCTTGTTTGGTTTTTCTTTCTTGGACTTCTTTTCAATTTTGTTTGAAAAAATAGGTTTCATTCCTCTGCCCTTTTTGTTTTTTGTAGTTTTTTTTTCCCCTTTTTTTTCCTGTTCCCGATCGCTATATCATCTAGATAGTGAACCCGCCCCTTTATTCCTCAATGACATTACCCTTCTCCGAAACGTACACACCGTCCAAGAACTATTGGAAAGGACATAGTTAGTATATGGGGATTGGGAAGTCATGGATGTCGGGGTTACCGTCCCATAGCAGACAGAGGAAGAGATGGGACTGGTTGGTTGGTTTCCTTACTTTTCGGATATCCTTATTTCTAACCCGGCAAATTTGTTGGATATCAGCAGCGCTCTGTGAAACACCCTCCAGCGAGTTTCCAGAAAGTTGGATCTCATCCTTGACGTTGGCGGAGGTAATGATCTCGACACCGGGCTGGCAGATGACGCGGCGGACTCTCTTCTCGCCCAGGAAGTTTCTATTTGTTTTGGCAGGAAGAGATTAGCTATTTTCGTGTGTTTTCCATGTTGTTCGATCCCATCCTTCGTCTAACGGCATCACGTTTTGCTCGTTTCTTTTTTCCCTGACCCTGAATCTGCTCAACCTATATCTGCAGCATGGTCTTTGAAAAGACATATATAGCAGCAAACCCCCCACCAACCAATCGCAAGCGAAGAAAAGCAAAAACATTCATAAAAAGACGAAAAGAAAGAAAAGAAAAGAAATATATATATATATATATATATATAAAAGAAAAGGAAAGAGACAAATACATACCGAATCTCAACCTCAGCAAGTCCCGTCTCCTTGTTATTCTCAATGTTGACGTTGATGGGGAAATGGGCATAGACGTAGCGCATCTTGTATTTAAAGCCGCGGGTGACGCCGATAATAAGGTTGTTGATCACGGTGCGGACTGTTCTGAGGGAGGCAACGGCCTTGCGCGAGCCATGGTGGATCTCGATGGCCAGCACGTTCTTCTTGGGCATGCTGAAGGAGACGGAGACGTGCGAGAGGTCCTTGACGAGTTTGCCTGTTTGGTTTGGGTTAGATTTTTTTCTTTTTTCTTTTTTTTTTTTTTTTTTTTTTTTTTTTTTTGAGACGGGAGTGATTTTATATGGTATGCTCCAGAATATCCCTTCGCAAACCACACGTAGAGAGGAGGAGAGATGCATACCTCGTGGTCCCTCAACGGTGACGACCCGCGAGCGGATGTGCACCTTCACTATAAATCATCGAAGCAAAAACAGCTGGTCAGCACATCATGTTCTCAGATTCCCTGCCTCCTCTAGACAAAGCAATATACAAAAGCGACGTGTGTAGCGTTGTTTGCGTATGTGTGTACGTGTGTGTGGTGCGTAGGTGCTATGTCTGTGTCTGTTCTGTGTCTGTTATCGAATCGAATTTGCCCAGAATATAACTTTTTTCCCCTTATTTGTTTCCAGCCGCCCAAAAGAATATCGAAAAAATCATCGAATATATCAAGTTTGCTTTTTTTTAAAATCATCAATCCCGTCCATCGTAGATCGTGAAATCGTAGCCGCGCGCGCGAAAAAAAAAAAAAAAAATTTCGCCATTGAATTCTGTGCCTGATCCCCATTCGCAACATACCCCCTCCATCCAATCATCCACCTCATCCCCTGTTCTCCCCAACGGTAGCAAATGTGTCCCTCTTCACACACACACACACACACATACGCCCCCCTCCTCTCAATTCGTATCCGCCTTCGTCCCATATCCGCTCCAGCCCACAGGCTATGCACTCAAGCGCACGCACACATATACACACACACACACGCGCGCAAAGCTAGGATTGGGTAGGTGGACAGAAGACGGGGAGACCTGGGGGGGGGGGTTTCTAAAAGCCAGAACCATAAAAAACGAAGACTAAAGAAAAAAAAAAAAACAATCCAAATCTCTCACCGTCATCCGGAATCGGCAGTGTCTCTTGGGAGTAGACGTAGTACATCTTGAATCTGTAACGACGACGGGGGCGTCTCTCGCGGGGGAAAATAGGCCGAGTTGGTTGAGGGAAGAAAGAAAGAAGAAGAAAAAAAAAAAGAAGGAGGCGAGGGAAGGGGGGGGGGTTGGTGGTGGTGGTCGTTGGTCGTCGTCGTCGGCGTTGTTCGTCTTCGAGATACGCACAATTCTCTTGCAGCAAAACTCACACACAGTTAGTTTCGCCCTTGCGATATTTTGCTGGTGGGAAGTTGGGTTCGGAGGAGGGTTGATTATGTCAGCGTTGTGCGGGTTGGTCCTCGGGTGTGTCGCTTAGGTTGCGTTTTGGGTTTAGCGTGGGTGGTGGCTAGGGTTGGGTTGGATCAATCCATTGTGAACAAGCCCTGAGATACCAGAATCATCATCGTCATCATCCAGTTATAAAGGGACTGAGGTGCCATATGCTTTTGGAGAGTCTCGAGAAATTAGAGAATATGCCCCAATGTAGTTGTTCCTAGACAGATCAATCAATCGCGTACCTACCTTCAAATTGGCATCTCTATATACATCTCTCGGCACAGCGTAGAGTCCAGTTTTTCTCGTCTGGACACTACTCTCCACCGTCTCAGAGAACCTTCTCCCTTTTCAAAACAATCATAAACCCAATAATACTGATATATATCTAATCGAGTACACATAGGTACCCATATACATTATACGATAGCTGCAATAAAAATGCATGCAGTAACAATATAAAGCTCTTTAAATCAGAACAAGAACCAGAACCAGGCCATACCGAACTGTCCACTAAGCTCAAGTTTATGTCATGAATCTCGCTGCCCTCTATTTTCTTCGTTTTAGAAGGAGAGCGAGGAGGAGGAGGAGAAGAAGAGGAAGAAAATTTCCCAGAACGCCGTGAAACCGTAACGCGGATAAAACTAGACTGCGGATATAAAACCAAAAAAGAAAAAAAAACAACATAAAAAACAACAGATAAAAGCAAATATATCTGAAATTCCTCTTTCATGCGAATCTCGTTCTTATCCCTCGTATCGTGGTGTGTCGCATATTATAGACTCATGGCATGCCAATCATTGCGTGGAGGCTCCTAGTGTTGGGGTTGGGGCCTTTGGAGGGGGCGGGATTTAGGGCTGGAAGGGGGAGAAATGAAACTAAGGGAGGGAGAAACCATGTTCTACCTTCTGTCCATCCGTTAAAAGGGAAGACCGAAAGAAAAGAGAAAAGAAAGAAAGAAAGAAGGAAGGAAGGAAGGAAGGAAGGAAGGAAGGAAAGAGAGAGAGAATTCATCCAAAATCAAAGCGACGTCCCCTGATCCCTCACCCGCATCTCCATAACCCTCTTCCCGCCCAGAGTCTTTATCTTCGCCGCCAACTGGCCCGTAACATCGAGGTCCTCGATATCATCTCCGCCGCCGATGGTCATGCCATTGACGAGGACGTTTGGCACGGTTCTGCGGCCGGTGTTGCGCCCAAGGACCTCCTGCAGCTGCGGGCCGAGAGGGTGCATATCGAGCTCGACGACGAAGGGGCCGGGGGTGATGGTGTATTTGGATTGGAGGATGGATTTAGCTTTGTGGCTGTAGGGGCAGTAGGATTTGGAGAATATTATGACTGTTGGATGGTGGTGGTGGGATTTGTTAGGTATGGTACTTTTCTTTTTTTTTCCGGTTGTATTTCGCGGAGAGAAAGAAAGAAAGAAAGAAAGAAAGAAAGAGAGCAAAGTACTGGCATGGCTTGTGATAACGGGCAAAGAAGGGGGCGGGAAACATACCAGGCGACCTCTTAAGAATAGCATTAAGTTCCGCCTCCACCTCCAGATTCTCCTCATGATTACTCTCCGATGATGCAGGCTGCGAGACGGCAGGCATCTTCTTCCTCCCCGCGATAGACTTCTCATTTGATCCAACACCACTACCACCATCACCACCATCACCACCATCACCACCACTACCAGGAGGCGTCATCTTTAGCGGGCTCTCATATCTCTGCCGCTCAACCGCGATCGCCTGCCTATCCTCCGGCGCCAATTTGGTCGTCCGCAGCTTCTGGAAGAGGTTCTCGTCGTCGTCGCCGCCGCCGCTCATCTGGCCGAGTCTCCGCGAGGCTCTGGCATCTATCGCCTCGACGGTTTGTTGGTAGAATTCTTCATTCTGGATTCGAGTTGCGTTGGCCTGTTATGTTTTATATATAATGTCGTCATGCCGCGCAGTTGATCAGTTATCGTGTCCATGCATGCGTGGCAGTGTATGTAGAGTAGTTAAACAAATTCTTTGTTGGACGGGACGGTTGGGCGGGCGGCGCGGGCGGGGCAGCCTCAATTAATTATATCCCGATCATCGCGCGTGCGGCCCGCCCCCCGCGCCCTCCCTCCCCAGAAGTTAGATAGGTATCGTACTTACACTCAAGTAACATATTAAAAACACCACCCCAAGCACGGCCATCATCAATAACCTCATGCTACGGCGGGCAGACGGCAGCATGATTCGGTGACCACTGGCAGTGGGGAAGGAGGCGTGTCGGGTAGGGAAAGCTGGGGATGAGCGCTTCATTATGGAGGGCGGATAACGGGGTGCCGACGAGAGCACACGACTCTCACGCAACCACAGCCACGGGAGATGGGGGGGGAAGTAATGGGATGGTTAATCATGGAATTTTGGAGGGAAGAAAGAGGGCAGGGAGATGTTCGACGAAGCAGCAGTAGGAGTCAGTAGGAGTAGAAGAAGTTTGGTGGAGTGGAAAGGGAATAATAAGTAGGAAGTTATTTAGTTAGGTGGGAAAGATACAAAATAGAAAATAATAAAAATGTCAATAACTTAGTTAGTTATTAGTAGCTGACTATTACTAGCAACTGGGAAGGAGACGCTGGCGGGCGGGAGAAGGATCAGGATTTATGATCTATTATGATCTATTATTATTATTATTTAGTTCTCGTCGTCGTCGTCGGGAGGTGTTTTTCTTTTTCTTTTTTTTTTTTCTTTTTTTTTTCTTTTTCTCCCTCCTCCCTGCAACAACCTTTGTCAAAGCTTGTCCAACGTGACGGTATCTTTTACGATGCAGGTAAGGTAATAATAATATGCAACCATCCAGGTCACAGAACCAGGCAAAGCACAAGCATGAATCATCAAGCATCAAAAGGACTAGAAAAAGAAAGAGAAAAAGATAAAAAGATAAAATTGACATGCGGAGGCAAAAAAGAGGGCAGAAAACAGCAACATGCAACCAACCAACCAACCAACCAACTACAGACTGTCTGTCTGTTCGCCAACTTTTCTGTGAAAAAGAAATATGCAAGTAGTACAGTACATAAATACCTCCACCCCTTCCATTGTTACACCTTTAACTTACTCCGTCCTCCTGTGTCAATTCAATTCGTGGCCTGGATGATTATTATTATTATTATTATTAACTAGAGGGTATTGGGTCTAGAGTCTGGACATCAGTTTTTCATATATGATCGCCGCTATCGCCAGACATCCGTACATGTTGCTCGAGGGCCATAAATAATCAATCCCATTCTATTCTACCATTTCTAGTTTATACAACTCACGGGGTTGAAGGAAGGCAAAGCCATGATTATCTATCATTCATTCCGTCAGGTCTGTTCTTCTTTTGATTGAGTGATATTACTATATTACTATATATTATATTATTATATTATCACAAGAATACTTCCCATGTTTCCCATTATTTGTAACCCGGTACCTGAAGTTATGTTTTTTGTATCTCGTCCGTATTCATTATTTCACTCCTGACCAGGTTCCCACATGAGGCTGAATCAATGTCCGATGCTAACTTAACTAATAATTCTAACTAGTTCCTACTACAAACTGAGGACCCGTGTAAGTTGGGATGGACTAACTTATACATCAATCTACGCAGCCATAGACAGCGAAACAGAAGTCCCACGGAGGATTGGAAACATGAATCCATGAACTTGCGTCTCCTGAATGTATCTATCCATATACGATGTCCCTTGGGAAGGAGAGGAGGAAAAAAGCGAAAACAAGAGAAGACAACCAGCAAAGCAGCCCATGACATTTTAGGCCTATCGAGACCATGCCTCCCTGCCACTAAAAATCAACAGTTCAGACCAGGGCCAGTCCAGTCCAGTCCATCCACTCCCAGTCAGTCACTCAGGGGTAACTTAAAGAAAGAAATGAGGAGTCAAGCAATAACAAAATCCTGCCCTGCCCTGCCCTACCCTACCCTGGTCTGGCTGGATGCTTTCATCGCTTGGGAGGAGTTACTAGGGTGGTATGGTATGGTATGTAGTTTAAAAAGAAGAGGCTGGTGGTACATACATAATAATAATAACTGATCTAACTCCCGGAAACTTTCCCGGAGATTATCAACGGTTGTTTCCTGTCTCTATGTACCCTTTCATTTCTGCTCTCCTTGAAGGGTAGTTAAGGTAGTGGCTATTTTTGGTGCTCGGTTGGTGCTCATGGTACGGAGTACGGAGTACGGCGCTTCTCCTTTCCTGGCGACGCTATGATAAGTTAGCGGAGTACGCTTGCATGAATACAATCACCTCCGAGGAAAGCTCCTGGTAAAAAATCTATTAATGTGCTGGGATCCTTTGAATCCTTCGCTTGCCTGCTAGTTATGTATGTTCGTTCCTCTTTGCTGTATCTATGCCGACATATCTTGGTTGCTTGTATGGTCACGAGAGCCGGAGCCCACTCGTGAATACCGTCCCTAGTGGTGTAGTGGCTAACATCGCTGTCTTTCACACAGCAGCCCAGGGTTCGATTCCCTGCTAGGGAGATGCTCTTTTTTATTTTTTATTTTTTATATTTTTTTAATATACTTTATTCTTTCTCGCGCCTTCAAATGTGTATGTATGTATTATCTATCTCCTGTGCGTGCATCGTGCAAAACTATACGGAGTACATGTGTCTGATTTCGAACTCATTATTATTACGGGGTATTACATATTGCAACTGATAATCCCACTCCACCCAACCACCACGACGGGCAGACCAAGGTCCCGCTCGGAGCTACACACGACTGGGAATACGGGAAAGTACATGTACCTGAAAAGAACCTTATCAAAAAATGAAAATCTCATCACCTCCTTCGATGTGTTTGAGAAGAACATTCCATGGATAGCTGTTGTTAAACCTAGTTACCGATCGCCACACGAACAAACCGATCAACCAATCGGAATTGGCGTCGAACTGGCCCGCCCGAAGCCCCGCCCGAAGCCCCGCCCCAACCCAACCCACATTCTCGGGCTTTTATTAAAGAATCTGATATGTGAGCTTGCTTGCTTGCCTGCAAAAAAAATGGATAGAGATGGTTCTCTCATGCATTCATGCATTATTATTATTATTATTATTATTATTATTGAGTCTCTCCTTGCCTGTGAAATGGGGGGCAGCAACATCCCCTCAGCCAGTGCACAACGAGTTTTCTGGATTGGGGAGCGACATAGCTATGAACCAGGTCCTGAGAAAAGAGCTCCACGGTGTAATCAACCGTGATGGTGTTCTCTTCATGAACATGAGGGATGCGCGAAAATATCAGCAACAGGTCTCACTCAATAATATTCTATGTTTATTACCCCAGCCGCAGCTGTCTGCCGGAAGGCTTCGGAAACGCCTTGCACACAAGATCGGCCCTCGTCCCACCGTCCACGGTCAAATGGGCATGGCATGCGAAGAGTCGAGAGTTCTTTCTTTGCGGGGCAAGAATTAATTTGTTTCAGGGCAGATGATACCTTATAAAATAGCTACCCCACATTCCTGGGATCGAGTAGTAGAAGTAACTATGTCAGTTATACAACCTTAGGGTACTATAGCCGCTCGGTCGAAACCATCCGTGGTCCATGGAAGCCCTACGATTTGGGTTTGAAGAACCGTTACGTTGCTTAACATGGCCGCCCTTTCAAACACCTGGCATCGGGCCGAAGATGAACCTAGGATACGTGTTCGGTGCCCTGGAGCGCAGCAAGAGAGGCTCGGCACCGATTATCAGATTGGATTTTGACTTTCATCATGAACCAGCAAGCATGGCTTGTGGTAGGTAACTAGTTAAATGATGGGGTGGCGTTCAAATTGCTTATCAATATCTAATCTACATACATAGGTACCCGAGAGATGGAAAGGTTAACTTACCCTTACCAGTCATTGTACAAGCACCGCAAAATGCTGCGTGATTTTTTTTTCTTTTTTTTTTTTCGTCAAGGTTTGGCTGTACTCCTGAAAAGCGGCCAATTGGGACACATTCATCTAGACTTTGATGAAACAGTTTTGTATGCTATCGTATATCTTTCTTTCTTTTCTTTGAGCAATCCCTTAAGGGCTACCCTACCCATGTCCCGAATGCTCAAATACGCGTTAAGAGTTATTGGCCTGCCTAAACTTACATCTAGATGTAAGTAAACTTTGTTGACGCAAGCAACTACAAAGACACGCCCGGCAATCGGCAAATAGCCTCAGCGTGATTTGCCACGGACGCTGTATCGATAGTTGATAGCATCGGAGGAGATTCCGGGTAAGTGAAACAATATTGCTTTGAGATGCGGAGTGACGACGCAATGCCTGCCACATGTCGATGCACCTAAAGTTCGAGCTATCTGATCTCGGGAAGGGCGGGTTATCCTCGCTCTCCCACAACGGATGTTACGTGGTATAATATGCTCCCTTCCACCCCCCCCCCCCCCCCCCCCCCCGAGATTCGATTCAATCTTATCAATCAATCGAAACTCCAACCCAAGGCACCTGTTCCTATACCCTAAAATCCTCTTCTTACCTATGAAAACATAAAGACCTCTCCCTCCTCGAATAAAAGGCCGAAAAGAAAAGCCGCGTCGAACATGAAGCTGCTCGCTCTCACCCTCACCCTGTTCGGAACATCCATGCTCGCCCCAGTCGTGATGGGCGCAGCTGTTGATACGGGACCGGGATTGAACGCGGGACCGAATGCGCCATCGAGTGCACCACCGAATGCACCACCGAATGCGCTGCCGGACGAGGATGGCCCACACCCTCCCCGGCGAGACTGGTGCGCTCCGGGCTTGGTTTGCTACACCGATTGGGATTGTAGGAGGGATCAAGATTGCTCACGTAGGGTGTCAGATTTGAGCCAAATTTTCTGCGGGACATTCTTCTATCCGCGTTCTTGCTGGTATAGGAAGGGTTAGATACAAAGAGACGGGGATCGTCTCGAGAGTGTTGGGAGAGGGCGGTGCTTTATTTTGTTTGGTACTGTGCCCCCTTTGGTTGGAGAAGCAAAAGTTTGGTTTGGCGGGTTGTATGTATATGCACAGAAGTGTTCAGTCGATGGCGTGGGTAAGCGGAGAAAAAGAGACTTGTTTGTCTCTTGTTGTTGTTATCACAATACTAGATAAGACCGGTCCTCCATCCCGTGTATATAAATAAAATTGATACAACATGCTCCTTCGACATAGAGGTAGATAGCTCGCTCTTGAGTAAATAAAAAGGTATCTTTACATCGATGTAGTCAGGGTGAGGCACACTGAACATACCTCAAATCCAGTCAGGTAACTTTAGCATACGCTGTACATAATCAAATCAATCAATGCAGTGAGACTTTTGTTTTCCTTTTTGGTAAACATAAGGGAAAAGCCCTCTTTTCCTTCGATTTGGTGATCGCCCCTCATCCTCCCCCTTGGCGCGAATGCGATATGTACTGTACATAATAATGTTAGATAGAGGGATCCTGCAAGCACCTTTCGTAGTAATAGCCTTCCTTATATGGTTTAATGTCACATAAATTAACATTCAGTGGCATTTTTAATTAACACCACTATCACACAGATGGATCTGTACATGTGATGTTTCAGCATGAATTCATATATAGTATCTGCATGTAATTAGTGCTGTACAGCCTTCCTTATTCAGTTAGTTATAATAATTGATATTCATCATCTACTGTGAGGCATCAACCTCATCAATCTTAATATTAAAAAGTTAGTCTTATTATTCAATCATATTATTGCAGTGTAAGTCAGTGAGACAGATTGACTATCAACTTCATCTAGATCTTTCTCTATTCACATTATATTCTCTGATTTGCATTTATATTCACTCAATTAATGTTAATTATAGTGATGAATTATTATTTTATTCTTTTACCTGGCATACAAGAGCTTTTCAATTAGATTAATACAATATTTACAAGACCTATGCCATAGCAGCGCCGAATCGTGGCATCTATGCCTATATAACTATAGAAAGGCTGTGCGTACTAAATATTTCATGCAACTTGGCGCTACAGGATCCCTCTAATAATGTATGTACTATACATGAGTACATGTACCGTACTGTGTGTACAGAGTACATTATTACGATGAAGTCCCGGTCCGGGTCCCAAGCTCGCGGGCGCCTATACTAAGCGGCGTAAGCGCTTCCAACCTTCGGTTCCCGCGAGCTTGGGCTGAACTTTTGCGACTTCCAGGCAAATTGCACTAGTCTCAAAGTAGTTTGATGCATATTAATTAGTTGAAGTTATAGTGTCACATGACACGTAAATGCGCTTATTAAATTCTTCTCACAGATTTCGTTCTATTACAATGTCAAATTGTGACTGCGTGATAGATAGAGAAGTGAATCGTGATATATAAAATGTTGGAAAAATTATGAGACATGATTACAAGTGTGGATAGTGTTTTCGTTTCTGTAGGAGCTGGGGGTCTGAGTTCGGCACGTAAGCCGTCCCTAGTGGTGTAGTGGCTAACATCGCTGTCTTTCACACAGCAGCCCAGGGTTCGATTCCCTGCTAGGGAGAGTTTAGTTAGTTCTTTTTCGTTTTTTTTTTTTTTTTTTTTTTTTTTTTTCCCTCTCTAACTCGAGCATTTACATACAAGATGCAAAACAACAAAGGCCACTGCGACAGATGCGGTGCCTATAGTTCGTTCTCCTTTTTCTTCCCTTTTTTCATTTCGGGGATTTCATTGAGTTACTTACTGTCATCGCTTGTAACTAACTACCTTTATATTGTGATCTCTTGTCAAAATATCGGCTGTGCATGCGCACTGGATGACTCATTCTTTTCCATTCTTATTAACTATTCTTTTGACTTTTTATTCGAGACAGATTTCGCTGGTTCTGGTTATGTATGGTAGGGTAGGCATTTTCTCAAAAGACGCCTTGCCTTGTGTTCCGCAAGGCGAACGTGATGTTCCACAACATATGCGCGTATTTGAAGGGGCGGATACGAGAGAAAAAGAATCAATCCCCTCTTCCCAGTACATTACATAGTAAATACTTTTAGGATCAATAATGGGTTATAAAAGACTCTTCGTTCTCCGTAAAATATTTATTTCTGTGTCGAAAATAATTCAGATCTATCCTTCCTCAATTGGTTGATACATTGCGTGTTATCTACAACGTTTACAATTCCTCCAAAAAACAAAAAACATATATACGGCTTGACTTGGTTCGTTCAAGAAGCTCTCTAGCCGTGAAGGGCGAGGTGCAAGGTCAAAATCAGACACGAGTAAACTCGGAAAATAAAATGTCAACACTCGAACCATCATCCCAAGATGACAATAGGGGAGCCTCCCCCGAACCCCCCCAACCCCTGCAACATCACCATCAGAACATAGCAGAAGATCTCACACTGCAAGTCGACTTTTCCTGGCGACGATTCAAAAGCCTCATCACCAACAAAGACGACCCGCAAGCATCATCCCCCATCTACATCGTCCATCACAAAGTCACCAAACCGCATCTCACCTTCAAGTCGGCCGCAGACAACACGGCTTTTGCCACAGGCAGTCTCCACACTTTCTCCATCGATGCCGAATGCGAGATTCGCGGGCGCTCCACCACCCTCAAGGCACTCAAGCGCTTCAAGACAGAATACATGTACCGCTCACACACCTTCGCCACCAACGGCGGCGCTGAGCCCGCGTGCTTGACCTGGACCGGCTCCTGCGGCCTCAAGACCTGGGATTATATCTGCCTCGACGAGAAGCAGATGCCCGTGGCGAAGTTTTCGGCAAATATCTGGGCGGTCAAGAAGATCGGGACCATCACTTTTCTGGGATCGAATATCCCTGGCGCCGTCAGCGACGCGGTGAGGGAGGAGATTGTCGTTACGGCGCTGACGCTGTTCTATTGCATGGTGCTCCGGACTAATAGTGTCCTTTCGTTGTTTGGCGCTGTATTCTCGCGGCCTGGTCATGATGAGAGGGTGGAGGATGGGAAGGAGGGTGGAAGGTCGAAGGTGGCTGATTCGGAGTAATAGCCGCGTTAATAGTGAATGTAATAACGAGCATTGCTCGGTTGATTTGTGAAGCACGGTTCGAAATGTACCAGGGAAATAGGGGTGGAGTTCAGGTTTGAGGGGGCTGAAAGGGGGTCATGTTAGTGGCATTCCGATCCGGCGTTTGGGGAAGCTGCCTTATCAGCTGGGCCATATTGGCGAAGAAGTACCTCAGAAGGTGGTATATTTTATGGACAAGAGATATGTCATTCCAGTGTTCTGTCCAATTAGTAAAACCATTTCACAAAAATCCACAGGTGAAAAGGCATGTTTCAGGCTGCCTTATCTTCCAAAAAACATGTTGTAGCGAAATGTCATGTTGCTATGACTCCTATCCAAGTATTTCCCACTACGGCATGAATCTTGTTGGCAGTTGTCCATCAAGTTGCTCTCAAACCATTTGGCCCTGGAATGTATGCCACTCCGTTTTGCATCCTAGAGTGATTGACATTTTCGTGTTCGATTTGACGGGGAGTAGTCTATGCTTGAAACACGGAGCATGCACAATCACGTTCATGCTCAATCCAAATTCCGATTTTGAGCCTTCGGATTCTTACCAATCGCCTTTCTCGAGGAGGATGTGCCCTAGGTAATCGGAGTCGACTCACACTCCTGATAGAAAGAGTAGATCTGATCTATCTTGTTTTGAATCCATTCAACCTGCCCTTCGCGCAAGATAAACCCCTGACTCACAACGAAGGTAAGGTAGGGCAACAGGGTCCACGTTTCCGTCACCATCCTAAGTCGATACCGAAGCACACGGTCGGGCGACTGAAGAGCTACACCGAAATCGTGGAAAGTCTGGTAATCATCCGACTTATATAGCTTGAGCGTAGCGCAGATGCCATCAGCGAGGTCCTGAATAGTCGCTCTTGATGACTCAAGTTGTGCGCTTAGCTCCAGCTGGTCGAGTTGGGATATGCAGCCCGCAATCACGTATTGTGCCATGAGCCGTGATGTGCGGTAACGGTTTAATATGTGGGCAAAGGACTCCTTTTTCGTGAGGTCATCGTGGCCCTCGCCCAGGAATATCGGTTCGTCGCTATTGGGAGACGAGCTGACCCTTCCTGGGAAACATATTTCGGATAGCGAAATAAGCCAGTTATGGATATCGTTGTCGACCACGAGTGCTTGTTGTAGGAGCCGGAGAATATCATCCCTTTTCGCAGTGGCAGGGCGAAGCCTTTTGAAAAGGTTCTGTAGATCCAGTGCCCTTGACGCTAGGGAGATCAATAGCGTCAAAGGATGGTGATCAAAGGGTAGTAGCAAGTTATCGGTTACGACATTTACCGTTGGCTCCCCATTCCATATGGACATTGCCATCTGGTTTCTCATTAGATTGTGATTCTGGCCGCTTGAGAAGTTTTTAAGGGGCCGAGGCAGACTTACAAGCTCAACTCGAGCTGTGTTCGTCAAATCGACAGATAACCTATTTATAGCATTCCTCTGGCTACGGAGTTGAACCAAAGCTGCCGCACCGCGCGCATGTATTGATTCTGGCTGCTTCGCTTGTTTAACTGCTTGCAGTACCTGATAGAGTCCGTGTGAGTAGGAAAATAGGAAATATCATGGATGATTCTGCTGAGATCACATTTTGGCTTGGTTCCGGTAAGGCGTCTCGAATTGGGGGAGAGAAAGAGGGAGGCGTACTTCGTATATCCTCAGCAGTAATATGCCGATAAGTGTTTCGTCATTCTCTCTTGTTGTTTCATCTTCAAGTGCCTTCCTCACTGCCGAAATGGCTCTGTAAAAGTACATATCTCCAAGCCACTTCTCCCTAGGTGAGCCACATAGCGAACCGACAGCGGAGCACGCAACCGATAAGGTAGAAAGATAGATGACAGAGTTTGGACTTGACTTTAAAAATGCAGAAGGGAAGAAATCCAAATATGCTGTACGCACCCGTGCATCGTCCGGACTATGGAAAATAGAAAAGAAAAATTGAACGGCAAGCTGTTCCGCTGGGAAACTTAGATGGTTAGGAATGTGTTGGTATTCATGGAGTGAATTAAATTGCTTGGTAGTGATCTCTGTTGAGACCCGGGGTGCCACATCTGAAGACTGAACATGAATTGGGCTGTAGGAGGTTTGATCTTTAACAGTCATCTTCAGTGGATAGCCTGGGCATTTCCACCCACTCCGAACGCACCGATAGCATTGAGGAGTTCTTTCATCGCACTAAGGCCAGTTCAGCGTTCTTTCCCGGATAGGAATCAGTCTCTCTGGATACGCACCTTTATGCGCCGTTTCTTACAATTGCCGCATCCACGGCGGCTTTTTATTCCAGGTACCATCATTCTCAGGTAGCAAGCCTGCAAGAAAATGTAGTTAAAGTTCTGTTTCGAAAAAGAGAATTACAATAACTCTATGGGTAACTAGGTTAGTTCCTATCACACTGCACATTGCCGACGAGATGTCGATGAGAGTGCGATCAATTCCTGGTATGATGTTAGCTTCCACGACCCCTGGTTCCGTTTTGTATGTCGATGGCTCCCCCACACCGATAACGGGCCATGCCATGCTCACCAATGGACTTGTGGAGATTTTGACTCTTCAGCTTGGCATCTAAGCTCCTTCTGGGATGTAGTGCGATCTAGCCAATCGCCGTGCGGGCGCGTTTAGAGTCAAACAGTCGTCCACGACGTCTGGAGGGTCATTAATAATAATCATGAGCCCAAGAGCCCTAGGCTTCAGACTCTATGCCGCATTGCACTGCGTTTTCCAATGTCGTCTATTCCCTCGCTTCGAAGTGATGTTGCATAGCAGACCAACTAGTCAGTTATGCCAGGCGGATCCGGATATGTGACCGACCATCATTTCGTCTCATATATAAATGTGTAGAGAGCCCACTACGAGCACCGCTCGGCTGGTGGCTTTTAGCTGTCATGTACATGTACACATTCAGTTCTAGAATCAAATGCTCATGGCTGTCCAATTTAGTGATGAAATGGCGGCGAGAGCCAGGGCTCTCTGTACAGAGATAACTCCGCAATGCCCTGTTGAGTTCACCACACTAGGGTACTTCCCAAACTTAGGCGCAAACAGCTTTTTCTGTGCTTGTTTCGGGGTTTTCTTCTTTGTCGCCCTCGTGGTAGGAGTGTGGAAGAAGACATGGACATTCACCTTTGCTGTTACGGGAGCATGCGCGTTAGAATCCGTCGGTATGTTTAATTTTGCGCATGTACAGTATGGTATGGGCCTGTTGTCTCTAACATCCACTTTTGCTCTCTAGGGTATGCAGGCAGGGTTTTGATATACCAAAATCCGTGGGGGACAGGGTTCACCCTACAAATCATCACCATCATCCTTGGGCCAACGTTCCTCTGTGCTGCTATCTACCTGACCCTAAAACACGTCGCTCTGGCCGTGGGCCGTGAGATATCCCGCATACCGCCTTATCTGTACACATGGATCTTTATCCCATGTGATATTCTCTGCCTTGTCCTGCAAGGGATTGGCGGCGGCGTGGCCGCAAGTGGCGACCAGAAGAAAGATAAGGGCCTCCTGGATAACGGAAATCGCATAATCATGGCAGGCATCGGTCTTCAGGTTGCCGTACTCTCGCTTTTTGGAACGGCCGCCCTGGACTACTATTGGCGCGTATCCCGTTATCATCGCAAATTGCTGGCCACCGATGAGGAACGAGCGGCATGGAGGGATAGGAAGTTCCACATTTTTGCTGGTGCTGTGTCCATGGCCTATCTAACCATCTACTCCAGATGCGTATACCGGTGAGTAGATTAATGCTGTGTTTCCATTTTCTCGAGTGCGACAGAGACACTGACTGTGAACAGTATTGCAGAGATGGCTGGAGGTTGGGGGTGAGTACTCACAAAAAGTGGCATAGAAATGTCTGTGCTGGTGCTAACAGAGCTCCAGAAATCCCATTATGCGAGACGAACCCTCATTCATTGCTATGGAATCAGTGTATGTTCCCCCTTCGCCCTCCCTCCTTATTTTTCGTATCATGAAGGGCCGCGTTTGTGTGTCCAAATCGGAAATTGGAAGCCAACTAAAAATCGTCATCATTGCGCATTGCGATAGGATGATCCTAATTGCCGCCGGCTTGCTCTCCTGCTTCCCTGCAGGCATTTTGTTTCCGCGCATGAGCACACAGCTAAGAACCCCAAAGGCTTAGAAATACCATTTTAAAGAACACCACAACAGCACACGCTTTTCGGTATTGTAATAAAGTCGGTCCTGTGGATCAAGGGGGATCCAGAAAGCCTTGGTTTACGATGTCTTCAACCCGCAACGACCTGGAACGGCCAGAGTATTATGTGTTTTAGTGGGTGCGCATTCGATTCGAGCGTCTTGAGAAGAAAGGAGGAGGAGTATTTTTTTTTCCACGGATGCGGACAATATCGATAGGGAGTAAGTAACTTTTGGTATCAACGAACTATAACGCGACATATTGAAGAGCGCGGGGAAGAAAGAGGTTTGTTTGTTGAACGGTTTCTGAGGTTGGTACATGTACAAGAGGGGGGAGACGTGAGGGGTCAGTCACGTACATGGCGTTGTCGTGAGATGGATGTCTACATTTATTTGTGTCGCCAAGTGCCATGATGTATGTATGTACATATAAAAAAAATAATGGTGCCATAAGAGGAATATAATAAATTAAGGGACCTTTTTCTCTCCTTTTTATCTCCAGCCAGGACCAGCCTTCTTTCCCCTTTCTTTCCTTTCCTCCTTTTTTTCTTTTTCTTTTACAAGAGCAATAAAAACTAATACAATAATTCACAAGAAAAGCCGAAAAAAAAAGAAAAAAAAAGAAAAAAAAGAAAAAATACAGAAAAAATACAGAAAAAATGGGGGGTAGCTAGTCTGAGGAGAAATGAAAAATGCCACGAAGATTTTAAAACAAAGGCAAAATGTAAAAGGGGGTATTAACGAAAATAAAAATAAAAAAGAGAGAGAGAGAGACAAAGGAAATAGAGATAGAAAACATAAAAAAAAAAAAAAAAAGATAACACGACATCAGGAATAATGCGTGGAGAGACATGATGAGATACGAAATTGAAAGAAGATGCCAGAAAAATAATCGGAAAAAGGAAAAAGGAAACAGGAGAAAGACATGAAAGGGAGAACTAGAGACGGATTATCAATCGAAAATGTGAGGAGAGCGTTCAACGTAATCGCGAAAAGGCTAGGTAGGGGGTAGATCGATATTAGTCGGAGGGGTATGGCACATAAAAAAAAAAAAATATAAGATAGACAGGTCTTTAGAAGGTGTAAGAAATGGGGATCTTTTTAAAGAAAATTTAGATATTAAAAAATTGAGGTATAACGCAAAAAGGGATGGAAATTGAGTATACGTTTGGGGGAGAGGGGTGGAAGATATAAATATTACGAGATGAGAGGGTGTTAGAAAACAAAAAATCCAGAACAAGTTTCAGGCAAAAAATTCACACTTCATTAGTTTCTTTCCCTTATTGCCCTTTTTCCCACGTTACCCCCTTCTCTTGGAAAGGCGGGGAACACGGCAAATCGTGGGTGGAGATTGGGTAGCCGGCGGCAAGAAAAGAGATTACGAGGGGATCAAAATGTCAAAATATCGGGGATTGGTCAGATCAAATGCCTTTGGAGCAAAGTAAAGTAAATTAGATAGAGGCATAGAAAGGTAAGTCGGTGGCGGCGGCGGCGGTGATAGGAGGGAAAGTGTTTGCATAAAAAAAGCGAAGCAAGCACTCAAAGAAAATAGTAATAAATTTGTTTCTTTTTTCAGTGTCTGTTAGTCACTGTTCCCCGTCGACCCCCCTCCCTCCTCCCCTGGACAACAGTCGTCCAATCCTCCCACTCCTTCGCAACCTCCATCATCACATTCCCCATAACAAGCGCGGAAGCCATAAGCCCATGGCCCTCTCCTTCGAGCACCCGCACCTCACACCGCCGCATCGTCTTGCCCAGCCACCGCACGTTGTCAACGGGGACCCGCGTGTCCCTTGTACCGTGGTGAATAACTACGGCGCGGTTGATGTCGACGTAGCGGAATCCTATTGTCTGGCGCCGTTCGAGGCAGACGAGCAGATCGACGGCTGGGTTCGCGTTGGTGGTGGCTAGTTCCCAGATGGCGTGGGTGAGGCGGTTGTCGTAATCTGACTGGCGCTCCTTGTCGATGGCGGCCGCTGCGGCGATGATGGCGGACTCTGCCTTAGGATCTGATGGGTTCGCGGTCACGCGGGAGACAACTTCTTGGGAATCACGTTTGGTTGGGCCGCGAGGCATGGATACGGAACTCCGGCGTTGTTGTGAAATGAAATTATTGAAGCCGGCATCGCTGGTGCCGGCTATGGTTGTGCTGCGGCGTTTGGTCCGCCTTGAGTTTTTGGGCAGGCTGCTGGTGATGCTCGCGCTGGTTGTTGTCATGAAACTGGAATTGGCGACTTTGAGGAAGGGGGTGGGTAAGGCACGAAGGATTCTCTGGGAGTATGGAACGGCGCTGGCTGGAAGGGGTTCTTTGTGAGAACCCATGCTGGTCATCTGAGATGGAGGTATCCATGGAGCAAGTAGATGTAGCCGTCCTCGGATATGTTGCGGCATTCGCAACGCGGTCGCAAGAGCATATATCGCCCCAGCGGAATGGGCCATCATAGAGAATTTTGTGATTTTAAGGAAATTGCAAATAATGGCGACGTCATCTATCAATAATTTAGCACAAGCACTTTCTCCGTAAACATAGAGAGTGTGCAAAGAAATGTTGGAGGAAAATGGAATGAGTCAATCATACCTGGCCAGCTAAGTGGCGTCCCCGATCCATCAACACAGGGCTCACTCTCCCCAACACCAGGTCGATCTGGCGTGATTAACCTTAGTTTCAGCGTCCGAGCCAGCTCGTCGTAAAAGGCAGTTAAATATCTCGTTAAACCCATGCCCACGCAGCAGAATACCACATGGCCTTTCGGGTCACCAACTTCTGAGAACGCAATTACTCGTCCCGTATGTGGATGTCTGACCTTCTGAGTCAGTCTCCGAGATGATAGATAGTCGTGAACAGCATCGTCAATGGAATCCGAACTGGACGGCCGGTCTTCCTGCCCTAGAGACAAACGAGGACCGGGCGATACTGCGCCTGACAATGTCCGTCGGTGGTTTGATTCTGAATTACTGTTCTGCGTCGACTTTCGCCGTAGCACGCCTGATTCATTGCGATCGGGCTTTTCGAATGATTGCTTCCCTGATGCAGGCTGGATATTCGTAGTTTTCAAGGAGAGAGGTCCGCTGTTGCGTTTTTGGGTTACGTGTGATTTCCGTGTGAGAATAGCGGGTGAGGGTGCACTTTCATGTTGCGTCTCATCAACTTCTTTTAGTGGCTGGTCGGACACTGTATGAACAGATTGTCGGACCAAAACTGTTTCTTTTGTTACCGTCGTCTGCTGAGTTGCTGGCTGTTTGGGGCTCGGCCTGGGTGTCCGGGACTGCGGATTGCCTTCTGGCGTTCCGTCCGTCTGCAATTCGTCCTTAATCTTCTTCTGCTGCTCCTTGAGCTCTTGTATCCGTTTCGAAACTTGATCGTCTTCCGCATTTACCTCCGCGATATCACGATCAATAGTAAAATCCCGATTCGAATACACGCTATGGCGACCTGAGCGACGTTTTTTATTTGAATTCCCATGGTAGCTGTGGCGCAAAGAGGATTCGCGAGTGGGAATGACTCTGCCGCTTCCAATTCCACCAGGACTACCATTGCCTGTGTCAGGAATTGACCTCTGTGTACCAAGGGTTGGAGCAGACTCGCGACGATTGTCCTCATTTAATTGTTTCTCGAGCAACTGGAAAACACCGTTGTTCAGACTCACTTCTTCCGCCAAATCAGCCATTGAAGGGGTAGAACGCAAGCTTAGCCGGCTACGCGAGCTGTTCAATCTCCCATCTCCACCCTTATGAAATCGATCACTGTCCTTATCCTTGGGAAACTCCCTCGAGGCCCTCTTCAGGATATTAAGCTGATGCTTCAAACTTCTTCGACCGCCACTGCTGGAAGAGGCGATACTTGCGGTAGACATTCGAGGGCCTGGTTCCAAACTGGGCACGCCAAAACCTAACCCATCCTCTGGGCCGGTAATTGAGGAAGCCATCGAGGCTCTAGAGCCTGATCGCATCAGTGAGGTATCGCCAGGAGGACTGCGTGGGGAGCAAGGAGACCGCGGTGAACGGGGGGATGCGGGAGCCTTTGCCATTCGTACGACGGGGGAGATCGCCGCATCGTCTGGGTGTAAAAACGAATTTTCCTCCTCGTCGACTACAGGCTTGTTGTAGGCGCCATAATCCATTCCAAAACCTGGGGTGGTAGGCACATTTGCATCCCAGCCATCGCGGGGAAACTCCGTCTGCCGGAAACCAGGGGACGAGGGAGCGGTGCGAGGGCCGATTTCGGGAAAATTATCGAAGTGAGACTGGGCTGGCGTTGAAATGGCGGAGAGGGACGAGATCAGGGACGAGATCACTTCAGGAGAGGCTGGTGGGATGTGCTTGTGGGCAGAGGCATTGGCAGACCGAGCGGGCAGACTTTTTCGGCGGTGGGCAAGGTCTGCCTGGGAGTCTGCTCGATGCTGAGAGCCCATTGTGTCTTTCATGGCTGCAGGATTTGCATAAATGCTGCGAACGACAGTAGGTTACAGGGCATGCGTCTGTGAAGCGCAGTCACGAAATCGCAGGGCTCAGGAGAATTTGGATGCGATCACTTTCTTCAGCAGACGCTAACATGCTCTAGTTCCGTATTGACGGGTTATTCCCCCCCTATTTTTCGTCCTTGTAGGTACTGACGGATTAATGGAGGCGGCTCAAAGAATCCCAAGTTATTATCAATGTAGACAATTAAGAACAATCAAAATTTTAGCAATTCGTAGCAGTCGTTGCATGGGCGATTGGTCGCAGTAGTTATGCAGGAGGAGGACGTGGTATGATCTCACGACGATAAGGAGAACTCGAACTGGGGTTCTAAAAAAAATCCGAGGCGAAAAAAAAAAACAAATGCTGATCCCGTGCTGGTTTATTTAGCTCCCTTTTCGTTTCTTTTTCCTGCGCTTCCTTGTTGCCAGTCGTTTTCCTTTCCTGGCCCGGGGTCAGCAAAGAATGAGTCTGCAGGCCCAATCAAGAAATCGAGATATGCAGGGACTCTATCTGTGCCAGGACTGGCTCAGGGAGATGCAACCCCAGCATCAGGATATTCTCAACAGACTGATCTCGAGCAAGATGACTGGTAGTGGGGGTCGTAGGCTAGCAAAAAGCAACGACTGCCCAGACGGCGCGATTATGTTTGGACAAAGCGAGATTGAGCCGAGATGGAGGAGCAGGCGACGAGGGCAATAAATACGACCACTGATAGGAGGGACGGACAAACCTATTTACGCCACCAGCTAGATTTGAATATCTCAGCCTACAGAATCCGGAGTCCAGAGAGCTGGGAAGCAATGCGCCGGGGTTGTATGGAGTAGTAATAACTATTTTATTATATCGAACAATGTGTCCCAGCTTGTGTAAACAACACGTCGTCTGCTGACATAAACGCGTCTCCCTACATTCCTCAACTAACTCTCCATGCTCAGAATGCCTCTATAGCCCGTATAAATCCCAAGTCTCAGTGTGGAAAGGAGTCATCTCCTCATATGTGAGATATTATCTACAGCCAACCAGCCAGTATGTCTCTGGGCAGAAAAAACCCCATATTGCATGCAATCTTGACATTCTGTACTCCGTATTTCATCATCTACTCCGTCGAATACTTATGGCGAAGAACTGTACAGGTTTCGCCCTCCTCCCGATTACCACGCTTTTTTTCTCTTTTAATACGCCAATTCGCATTTTCATTTATTCTGCTAGGTATCGATAATTGCGCGCCTGCGTGTAATGCATTTATTTGCTGTATTCGATGGGTCTGCGCCGTTGTCTATTTATATTGACACAATGACCCAACTATAACAAGAAACCTTGGATCTTGGATTTTCGGCCTGGTCCATTGGTTTCCTTTAACTATTCTATTTACTCCCGTTTGGCCGTTTGGGTTACCACCATGGAAGTACAACTAGACATGGGATTATGTACTGACAAGAACGACCCGGCCTTATATACAATAGGATCTCCGACAGCGTATGTAGTTAGGATACATGAATGAGATTTTGTAAGTTGCATGCTTGATTTATTTTAACACACCCCTGACCACTGACGCCATCTAGAGAGGCCCGTCCGAGAAATGGACAAATCGAGGATATCATCGAGGCGACGGGTTTTGTCACATTGAGGGTTTCATACTGAGTATATACAGCCAAAATCAGCTATAGTTACCCAAAACTCCTGTGCCATCTCAAACATGGCCCCCTTGAAATTGTCAAATTTGGCTTTAATCTTCGCAAATAATGAAAGCCGAATATCTATATCGGGTTTCCCTGTGGCTTCCGACGCCCGCGTGAAACTCGAATATTGCATCCCGTGTACAACCTCCTCAAACGGACCAGTTTGTCCGCACATTATTGGATTCTTGTATCTCACAATGACTCCCCGTTCCTGACTCCAGAATGCATGACCCTTCATTTACCAGGCTTACTTACGTATTTATTAATGATGTCAATATCTGTCTCGGAATCTTATTTAGTACACGGACCCCGCGAAGCCCCCAAGGTTACCCTAGTGGGTCGTGCGGATTCCCGCTGGAGACCATTGTCAGACCACCCCAGCTACTTTCGGCTTACGAGGGCAGTCGGGAATACAGGTATCAATCACTTTTTGCTCACTATAAAGAAGGATCCCAGTTCTGATTGGTGACTGGAGTTGAGTGCGATTTGAATGGGGCGGCTGCTGGTCTTGTACGTGCGCGTGTACGGTATAGAAACAGCAAAGGCAAATCGTGTAGACGTGATAGAAATACACATCCGCTTTTCCCTTTTTTTTTTCTCGTGTAACTAAATGCGCTTTGAGGTCCTTTCCATTATCAGTGCCTTAAAAAATATGGCTTGTATGATTTACTTTGGTGATGGCATAATTGACTCCAGCGCATGTAGAGAATGCTTGAGCACATCATAATGTAGAAGAATGTAGACATGTACTCTACTCTATAGCACAATCATAAGTTCTTTAATGTATTTCCCAGATGATATAACAGTGACATTGGTGTGGAAGAAATGGACTAGTGCGTGCGTTTAAGACTGCGATCCCCAACGTCCATCACAGCTTGCATATTTAATTCCACGTCACAGCTCTCCCAAACGGACCCGATCCTCAACATTTCCGCATCTACACCGCCGCAGGAGCACAGCTCGGCCCTACTACAAAATACTTCTGACAAAGTGCCTATCTGTTCTGAGTTAGGAACGTCGATGGTCTCGGAAATGCATTCATTGGCTATCACCCATCCTGCGCCATAAACCGCTCCCACACACGCCTTGGAGCAATGGACGCTTACCCGCCAGACTACGTTGACCACAACCTCCCACTCATCCTCCTGTCTGGTGTTGGATCTGACCCTGAGCCTGATGCTCAGGAAAAGATTATCCCAGTCGATGGTGCTGAGTACCCTCATCTGGGGGAAGGCGGCGTCCAGATATTTTCTGATTTTCCCCTCCTGACCGATTCCACGGCGGAGAGGGTGTTGAATGCTCTCCTTAGCCAGGATGCGACGCGCAGACCATGGAATTCTAAAAATGATGGAGCAAGGGCGGGGGCTGTTGGGTATAAAATTAAGAGGGTTGGGCGGGTAGGTCAGCGCTCCTTGGGCGATTTATATGTTGTCCCGCCTATGCCAATGTGCAAGCATGTGCTACACTTCATTCTGGTGGACTTTGATGCATCTGGCTTACCTTGCATGAAATCCAATTATGAAGACCTTGCGGCATACTGACTACATGATATAGACTTATACTCTCCCTCCCCGTAAAGGTCCCGCTATTCCCAAATCGCCCCCACCGAGCAACGTTTCCGGCAGGCCAAGTAATCATACAGCTTCTCCCGCCATGCTTCACTCACCGATATCTCCTCTGACACCAAGTTCCCCAACATTTCCTGACGGAATCATGACACCGCTGTGGGTCATGAAGCACCAGGCATTGGTCCCCGCAGCCTTTGTCAACTTCTTCCCATTCACGACCGATTCCAACATGGCCTCCCTTGGTGATAATCAGTTGAAGATAGAAATTAATAGTTTACGGAAGCAATGGGCGGCATCCGGATACAAGACACGATTCATTGTTGCTTTGCTTTGTGAAGATGGACCGTTACCAGAAGACGCAAATGATCGGATCGCTAGCATCAGGGTGGCGACAAACCTGGATCCGAAAAGTATTTTCGTTCTCCAACCCGAGCCATCGCAGTTAGATATTAGTGAATTTATCAAATCTCTCTTCGTCAATCTGCAAAGCCCAAGTGTTGAGTACTATAGGGATCTCTCGAAACATGCTAGGCGGAAGAAAAACCGAGGCACCATCCCTCCACCAACTGCACCACCTACCAGCGGGACCTCACAAACTCTGCCGCTCCAGGGCTGGAATGTTCGGTATGACTTTAAACTGGGCGCCTTTGCTGAATTTCGTCAAGAAATGGACGCTGCGTGTCGAAGTTACGAGGCTGCTTATGAGGGGCTCTTTGGCGAAGAAGTGTTCGAGATGATTGCTGGATGGAGCCCTAGGTTTAACGATGCCAGAATGCTTGCGGACATTCTCGCTATTCGGATCATTCGTTGTTTGTTATGGACTGAACAGACTTCATCCGCAGTCCACATATGGATAAACCACAAGAATCGCGTCAAAGACATTGTAGATCGTCGAGGTAAAGGGACGAATAATTACGGGTGGGAGGCATGGGAAGCCAGATGGTCTCTGGTGATGGCACAAATTATGCATCAGGCGGAAATATCATCACTAATAGTTCCCGATCTTCTGGGGTCGGTACCTGATCTCCACAAAACAATATACGCCATGCCCGAGAAAGCAGTTCCCATTGGTGGGAGAATACGTCCATGGGAGTACCTCCACCATGAGGGCTACTGGCTGCGCTGCGCTGCCCAACACACCGAGCGTAGGAGACAGCTTGCAGAGAATATTCCGGATGAAGACCGGGTGGCTTCCACCCAACCTACTAGCTCGTCATCACTGAGTCGAACTACCGTCTACGACACCTATCTTTCTCCTGAACCTTACAATGAATACCCCATGTCTGACCATCCAGGGCTCACTCATTCTAAGTTAATTATCAGTTTTCTTGAATCATCAATAGAGGAGTTCTCCAAAAGGCAACAAAACCGCATGGTAGAACAGCTAAAGCTAAAGATGGCGAAGGAGCATATGAGAATTGGACAATGGAAGGATGCATTGGCTATCCTACGACCTCTATGGCCGCAGCTATCATGGCGGCGGAATGGCTGGTGGAAGCTAATGGAAGATTTTGCCTGGACATTGCGGGAATGTGCTTTTCAGGCCGAAGATAGAGAAACCGTTTTGAGAGCAGATTGGGAGCTAATGAACCATAGTAAGATCCTCCTTCCTCACTCAATTTGGATCGGTTTTCCAAGTTTGCTAATTTTACTTTACTTTCTGATTTTAGCTTTCGCCGTGCGGCAAGGGTGGTGTTACGATATCCATAAAAGTATCGAAAAGTTGCCACCAGTGAAACCGAAACCGGTTGTGATTCTTAAAGGGGAAGATTCGGTTTCATGTCGTACGCTCCCCCATGCCCTAGCGTTGTTTTGGAATCAGAATACTGAGCTAATCATTTGTTGAATTTCTGCTCATAGTTGCGGCCTCTTTTGTCTTCGCGAAATCAGAAGGCAATGTGGGAGAGCCTCTACAATCCCAGCTTGTTATCAGGTCGTGTGCGCAGGCTGGATCGTCGCCAATTCGCTTGACGGAGGTAAAAGTTGTTTTTGAAGGCAGCATTCGGCCTATCAAGCTTCTACCGAGCGAGGACGCCACGTCGAGCTCTTCTACCAGTTGTGAGATTATATCCGTTCCGTTACAAGATTCTGCAAAGGTGGACGCTTCTTCCGTGCGATCACCAACTGCTGGGTTGTCCTTGATGGCCGGGTTCACCAACCTCTCATTTAACCCGAAGCAGACACGGGCGTTCAACCTTGTGTCGGTGCCACGAGAACCAGGCGAGGCACGAGTGGCGTCAATTACATTACGAATCGAGGAAGAAAATTTCGATCTGGCCTGCATTATTAGTGAACAGAACCGAGAGGAGTCAGTCTGGTGGAGAATGGGGAAGCAAGGGCCCATTTCCCGAAGGACAGGAAAGGATAGGGATACTTCAGTGGCACAGATCTTGCCGAAACCTCCGAAAGTCCGCATCACGACGCCCAATTTACGGAATCACTATTACACGGATGAGAAGGTCGTGTTTGACGTCCATATTGATAATGACGAAGACGAGGCAGCTGAGATTGATGTTGAGATGAAACTGTTTGGGCATACTGGAACCTCGGCGACGTTTTCATGGATTAATGAGACGGCTGCTGACTCAGAAGCATCTGAGGATGCAGGCTCGAGCACCCCCAGTACCCCTATTGAGGGTGACTCCTCGGCCCTGTCAAAACAATGTACAGTTGGGACATTGGGGCGTGGAGCCAGTCGCACCCTTTCAGTGTTGTTCACAAATACAACCCAACCGCTAGATTATGAGGTTGAAATATCCGCCTTCTACCACTTGGTTTCCGATATTGAAACTCAAATATTCAAAACCGTGTCCTTGGACTTATCCTTCATCAGACCATTCGAGGCAAATTATGAATTCTTACCTCGCATCCATCCGGCACCGTGGCCAGATTTCTTCCATTGTGATGATTCACCATCGGAAGATAGCGAAGCGAAGGAACAGAAACTCAATGGCCTTCAGCAACTGTGGTGCCTAAACTCGAAAATGGTGTCATTTGCTTTAGAACCACTTATCATCGAAGAAGTCAACGTGACACTACTTGGGATCACGGCTGGCAATGTTTGTAAAATCGGCCCGGAAACTCTCAAAAGCCCTGAAACTCCTACAATTGGACCTGAAGAGCTTCGAGAATCCGAATTCGCCATTGAAATCCAACGTCATGCGCTTGATGACCGGCAAGCGTCGACGCTAAACCTTTCACTGGATATACGATGGCGCCGACCCGACGATGACGACGGTGGTCCGCAATCCTCATCAACAACATCAACACTTCCGATCCCCCGCTTCCTCCTCCCTCTCGGCGAACCGCGTGTCCTCGCTAGCGCAACACCCTCCCCAACCTTCCCCGGCTTCCTACACCTCGACTACACCCTCGAAAACCCGTCCATGCACTTCCTCACCTTCAACCTGACAATGGAAGCCAGCGACCAGTTTGCGTTCCACGGACCCAAGTCCACCACAGTGCAGCTGGTACCGCTAAGCAGACATACGGTGCGATATAACTTGCTAGCAAATGTGACTGGCACGTGGATACAGCCGCAACTGGTGGTGGTGGATTCGTATTTTAATAAGACGTTGAGGGTGTTGCCTACGGAGGGGATGAGGGGAGATAAGAAGGGAATTTTGGTATGGGTTGATGCGGAAGGGTGAGAAAGGGGATGTGCGTGAGTTGTTGGAGCCGTGACTATTTTTGACTCAAGGATCTGAGGAGGAGCAAATAGAGCAAAGCATATGTACGAGGGATGCGTGGCTCCCTTCTGTTGGAAATCTATTTCGATACCATTTTTTGTGTTATCCACTAGTTAATGTCCGCGGGGGCGGGGGGGGGGGGTTTGCAGGAAATATTTTCCATTATGCAAACCTCAATTTTCTCCCTATGCTATGATTAATTACGACCATTTTCTCCACAAAAGTTTTTTCCTCTCAGTGTCATCTTGACCCGGTCAACCAACTAACTTGAGAGAGATACTTGGATTCTTGGCTTTCATACCTCCAAGGGATGCATTTGAGATGTGGTGCTCTTCGGCGTTGATACATCCCGAACACACACCCTTGTCTTGCTCATCATCCCAATGGCAAGCAATTCTACCCCCCCCACAACCAACTAAGCAGCTGGTGGGGGGTTGAATCCCGACGCCTAAATACTCAACGTTTACCTGCACCCCCCTAACAAGGGGGATATCTATTAATATTGTCATGTCACGTTCCAACCTATCTCTCCTTTCCTCCTTCTGTCATGAATTCCATTTCGTTGTCCCTCGTCCTTATCATCACCCAACACAACCCGCTAGACGGAAAGCCAAAACCCCCTGAAACCCCTCATGCCGTCGCCGACGCGCAACAAATATACCCCTGATACCGTGCGAAACTGGTATAACATGTCAGCTGGCTGAACACTGTCTTATCCTCAAGGTTCCTGTGTATGGCTGCATCCAAGCGTTCTGGGTACCCCTGCAGTTGATGCAGTTGAAGACAATCATATGGGCTGTTATATACTACCTCTTCACTAGCCTAGGAATCACTGCTAGTCCGTAGTTTTTTTTCTGCCTTTTCGCTCAAGCCAAAATCCACTTTCTTTAGTTTCCTTGCCTCTCTTTTTTTTTTTTTTTTTTTTTTTTTTTTTTTTCTTTCATGATCAGGGGTTACTTGCAGCACCGCAATAGGATACCATCGCCCATCGCCTCTGGGCCCACCGCTGTTACTCCGCCACACTCCCGCTCCGGATCTGGCTGGCAGCCGCTGGTGGGGGTTCCGTCCAAGGCTCGATCCTCTGGGCTCGGGGCCACCGAGCTCATCATCGCTATACGGACACTGAAAAAGGACCCATATTCGGTGCGCAAGGGCTTCGTGTATTCTCACTTTCGATGGATGATCATGAAGCAGAATCCAAAACTCACTGGGCGGACAGACGTCTCTGACCTGAAGCAAGATCCAGTAGTGATGTGGCAGCATCGCCACTATCTGTTAACAGTGGTCACGATGGGATTGTCTATCCCAATGCTCGTTGCCGGACTTGGCTGGGGAGACTGGTGAGGTGGGTTCATCTATTCAGGAATCCTGCGCATATTTTTCATTCAGCAGGCTACATTCTGCGTGAACTCGCTGGCCCACTTGCTGGGCGAGCAGCCGTTTGATGACCGCAATTCACCGCGCGATCATGTTGTTACAGCCCTCGTCACGCTGGGCGAGGGCTATCATAACTTCCACCATGAGTTCCCTTCCGACTACCGCAACGCGATCGAATGGTACCAGTATTATCCTACCAAATGGACAATCTGGCTCTGGAAACAAGTCGGTCTCGCCCATCATCTGAAACAATTCCGTGCCAATGAGATTGAAAGGGGGCGCCTGCAACAGCTGCAACAGCTGCAGAAGCAAGTAGATAGGAGACGGATCCAGTTGGACTGGGGGCGGTCTCTCGAGGAGCTGCCGGTCATGGAGTGGGAGGAGTATGTCGATCGGGCCAAGAAGCGTGGCCTCGTTGCCATTGCTGGGGTTGTTCATGATGTGACTGGGTTCATTAAGGAGCATCCCGGCGGCAAGGCGATGATCCAGTCGGGGATCGGCAAGCATGCCACGGCTATTTTTAATGGAGGCGTATACAATCATTCTACTGAGTAACGCAGCGCATAACTTACTGTCTAACGATGCGAGTAGGTGTGATACCCGGAGGGGCAGAGGTAGAGATCTGGAAGCGCGCAAACAAGAAGGGGAGCGCAATTTAGACGAATAAGATTCTTTTTTTAATTTATTTCTCTACATAATGCCTTATTATTGGAATGATCTTTTTTTTCTTTTTCTCCGGGGGGCGTGGCGATTCCGGGGCCCTTCACAGTCCATCTTCCCCTGTGTGTTGATGCCCCTGTAGCTTTCTCTGGAATTTCAGCTCCAATCCCACGCCACAGAGCCAGTTACTCTGCATGTAATGCATTTATACATACATTGGTTAGCCATTTCAAGATGAATAATATGGAGATAATTGGTGTAAGTTACTGACATGCAGGCTGACCATAAATTCTTTTGTATTTTCTTATATTTTCTTTGTGAGAAGTTGTGAGAGGGATAACTGGCGTTTTCTTGAATTGCCAACTATTACTGTAGAAATAGCTGACATGAGATGAAAATGTCTAACAATCAGGGCTATTTTCTACTTGTTCATAAACAGGGGTACGGAGCATATTACCCTGTACTGAACAGGATATCAAGCTTTTCATCCATTTCAAGAGCTTCCCCCTGTGTGTACTGTACTACCACAACAATGACATAACTATCCCTGTAAAAAGCTCTGTAACTAACATGGCTGATCAGGGGCTAAGAAAAGCAGGATTTACACATGCTCATACATGCATGTAATGTAATGTACATGTACATGTACATACAATTTCCAAGGCGGGTGGGACAATCAATGAATTACTATGCATCTGCGTAGAGTAACGAATTTATTTTTTGTACCTGTCACTGCCTGTTCTTTTCTTTGCACGATAAATCCCTTCCTGTGCTGGCAGATCGATCTGTATTCATTGGGAAATCATCATGAATATTATTTGTGCAACACATCGCAAGACCCTATCCTATCTGATCGATCCCATGGGCCCAAGTGTGGGTACATGATCGTGGAGTAGCGGGAGGCTAAATCATAACCAAGCTGCAGGGCTCTCTTTAACTGGAACAGCCAAGAGCTTAGGGGCTTAGAGGCTTCTTAGTGGTGGGGGAGGAATAGAGGTTCCCTGGATTGGACCCGTCGGTATGGGGTTTGTACCTTAATCAGAAGCGAGCCCTAACTATTAAACCAACGCCGGTCCCGGGTCCCCCTCCTCGGCCAAGATGAAATAACTACAGAGCTGAGTCGCCTCCAAGCTCTGTTCTGTTTGGATCTCCTGGTGCTTGTCCTTTTCTTCTTCATTTTCCTTCCTATATATATATATATATATATGTTTATATATATTCATGTATTTATCATTATTATAGTATCTATTACTATTACTGCATCGACCATAACTCACTGCGCGCCATTATTTTGGCTCCCAGGCTTTCTGTCTAATCATTATAATAGTAACATACAGCCGCCTCAGGGCGCTTCGGGAATCGCCACAGCGCAGCTCTGAAAATTCAGCAACAAGTTGTTCATGGTAGCATGGAAAATTCGCTCCCGCCAGCCATAACCCAGAGACACGATGGCCAGCCGATAGATGGTAAGCAATATCCCACCATTGTCCTTTTACCAGCCCCCCATCCGATACATGCGCCGTGCCTTGCGGATGCCTTATCTCCGAGCATTGAAATTGACTGAGAAGTCGTCTTCCTTCAGCTGCCGCAACCGCCGAGGTTGTCCTCAATGAAACCTGTCCAGCCGTCCCTGAAGGCTATGAACATGTGCGCGACACCTCGAACGGCTATGGGAACGGCCCAGGCCTCATCAGTCTCAGCGATCATCTCGAAGTCGTCTGCGGTCCCTTCCTGAACTACAAGGGCCTCCGGGATGCGAACCAAGAGTTCCCCACATGGCAGGGCAGCGTGTTGCTTGTCACAAAGCCAGGCCAGAGGCAGCCAGTTCTGGAATTGCGCTCGTTGGGCGCAACCCCTCCCTTTCCTACCGGCACTGGCGCAGGGCGCTCCAACCTCGTCAACGGCGATATGTCACAAAATGATAGCCAGGTAACAACCGTGGAGGGGCTCAAGCTGTTCGCGGACCCGATCAAGGCTTTCTGGCGGTTTCCGATTACGGTGCCGCTACGAGCCAAGGAGACGCGCTGGGAATATTCGTTTCCACGATTCCGCTATTTTAATAATAAGGAGGCGCTGGGTCGCTGGAATTTCGTTGTCCCCGCTGCAAACGACTCGATGCGCATTATGTTCTATTCATGCAATGGTTTCTCCATTGGTACAGATCTTGATTACTGGCAGGGTCCCACTTTGTGGAACGAGGTGCTTCGCATCCATGAGAAGCGGCCTTTTCATGTCATGATCGGGGGCGGCGATCAAATCTATAACGATAGCGTAAGGGTTGACGGTCCATTGAAACCGTGGACCGATATTTCGAATCCGCATAAAAGAAGAGCGCATCCGTTTACCAACAAGATGAGAGACGAATGCGATCGTTTCTACTACGAAAACTATATCAAATGGTACGGGATGGAGCCGTTCGCGACCGCAAACTCACAAATCGCCCAAATCAATATTTGGGATGATCATGATATCATTGATGGATTCGGCTCATATACCGATCATTTCATGAAATGCGCCGTCTTCCGCGGTATTGGAGGTGTTGCTTTCAAGTATTACCTGCTCTTCCAGCACCATGTGGCCCCGCCCATGTCTACATATACCACCGATGCGCCCGCAACTATGTCCGCAGTCAACGGTACCTCGGGCGCTGACCCTAGGCAGCTAGAGCACACATATGTATATAACGAACAGGAGGAAGACTCGAGTTTCATCACCGGCAAAACCCACGGACCTTACGTGGAAGAGCGCAGCAGAAATCTATACATGCGTCTGGGACGGCGCATGACTTTTGTCGGACTGGATGCCCGCACAGAGCGTACCCGGCACCAAATCAACTACCCGGAAACCTATGAAATGGTATTTAACCGACTAGACCAGGAGCTAGCCCAAGCCAACGGCGACATCAAGCATTTGATCCTTCTCCTAGGCGTCCCAATCGCCTACCCCCGCCTCGCCTGGCTGGAAAACATCATCAAGTCCCCCCTGATCGCGCCAATCCGCCTGTTGAACAAACGCTTCGGCGTCGGCGGGGACTTCTTCAACAAATTCGACGGCCAAGTGGACCTCCTCGACGACTTGGACGACCACTATACCGCGCGCCAACACAAACGCGAGCGCCGCGAGATGATCCAGCGCCTACAGCAGTTATCGCGAAAGTACTCCGTCCGCGTCACCATTCTCGGCGGCGACGTGCACCTCGCCGCTTTGGGCCGCTTCTACTCAAAACCACGCCTCAACGTCCCCGCCGAGCTCGACTTCCGCTACATGGCCAACGTTATCAGCAGCGCCATCACCAACAAACCACCCCCGAAAGCCGTCGCCAACCTGCTCGCGCGCCGCAACAAGATCCACCACCTCGACCATGACACAGACGAGACACTGATGAAAGTTTTCGATAAGCAGCCCGGCGGCAAGGAGAAGGGCGCCGCGTTCAATAAAGTGACGATGCCGTCGCGGAACTTTGCGTGTATCATGGAGGTGTCGATGGATGGGGCGGTGAATGGCTCCGCCGATGTAGCTCAGACGACGCCCGTGGTGATACCGAAGGATGGGCATCAACCGTTGCATGCTGGCGAGGAGAATGCGGGAACGACACATCGGGCGGCTGATGGAGTTAGTAATGTCAGCGGCATGATTGGCGGGCTCGATGTTGCCATACGGGTTGAAATCGATGGATCGGATCGGAATGGGACGACGGAGGGGTATGGGTTTAGCAGTGAGTTTTTCTTTTCTTTTCTTTTCTTTTCTTTCTTTGTCATTTGGGACTGGATTTATGTGGATTTCCTTCCTTTTCTTTCCTTTCCATTCATCTTACTTTACGCTTCTTTTATTTGACTGATACTCATTGCATTCCTATAAAACAGTACCTCCACTAGCTATCCCGCGGAACGATCGGGTAAGCCAGGAGACGACTCGTTCCCGACGCTTCCATCGAATTCACCGCCATCTACATTCCTCCCACAGCAATACATCTGCACCGCCTACCACCAACATGGCCGCGACCTCTGCTCCAGAGTCAGATAATGTGGCCCCTCTACCTCGTCCCGCTACTGCCATAGTGGAGGGAGCAAGGTAGCTAACCACAGACAGATAAGAGATGGAAATAGCAAAAATATGAGATTTTGAATAGTAGGGCGTATGTAATGATATGAATAGGGAAAAAAAGGGGGCCAGAAAGGGCAAAAGAAAATTTTATACCGGTTGGTTTTTGGGTAGGTAGGTAAGGAAGGCTTTCTTCGGTTTGGATTTTCTTTTTTTTTTTTTTTTTTTCATGGAGGTGGGATATTGAACCTATCCATCTATCTATCCATCTGCTTTTCTTTTAATTCCCCGCTATCTAATATTGAATGGATGGATGGATATCTTTGATTTTGATCTCTCTCTCATCTCTTCTTTTGGCGGGAGAGTACCTATATCCTTCTTGATTTCCTACATTTTTTTCTCATTTTGCTTATAATAATACCCATTTCCCCATTTGATGATATCCGGCCCAAATGAATGGATGGAATGACGATCTATCTATGACGGATTTTTGGGGGGGGATTTCGAATGGCTTCTCACATTTAATATCATATTTACCTACTCTATTCATATTTTATTTTTAATATTTTATGTTTATTGAGTTCGTACCCTTCGTCGCATATTTATTTTTATATCTGTCTTCCTATCCTACATGCATTTGATCCTTTTCCCCTTCCATTTCCGCATTTTATTTCTCATCTGCTCCCTTATGTCCTAGGATCGAGTTTAAGGGGTACCTAAAATGCAGGAGAGAAAGCAGGAGGGAAATGACCCCTGGGACCGGCGGCAGAAAAGTGATTTTGGTTTTGGATTGCTTTTCTTCAACTGCAAATCTCAGTCAGATATTGGCTTACTCTAATATTTTTTTCCTTTTTTTTTTTTTACTTCTGTTTACTGGGAATTTCTATTCTTTGACTACTGGGAATGGGACGTTTTGATACACTTATGGCATTGTAAAAAGTTGTATATTTCTCAAAGCTTTCTGAAAAATGGAGTTCACAAGCAAAAATTATATAAAAGTACATGCCTGAATATCCAGCCAACAAGGAATTCTTCTAATTACTCATACATAAAAGGAAGATGCAACAAAAATAAAACACCCCGTTCCAAAATCTAAAAGAGAACCGTACTAGTTAACTTCCCTCAATCAACACCGCCACCAGCCAGCCCTCCTTACCCCACCCTTTTCCCCCAACCAAAACCAAAGCTACTTCCCACCACTAAACCATCCCCACAACCCTTCCTTTTCCTTCTTCCGTCTCTTCTCCTGCTCCTTTTTCCCCTTCCACCACCACCCGGCCACCGTGCCAGCTGCATAGCCACCCAAATGACTCCAATGATCCATCACGGGCATCCGCAGCCGAAACGGCAACACCACCAATGACGCAATTTCGATAAACACGATGACACTCAGGAATGTCGAGCCCTTGGCGGAGAAGGTCTCTTGCCAGGATTGCGGGAGGAGGGCAATGGTTAGTTTGTCGCTGTTTTATGGGAGGGGTTAATGTTAGCGGTAGATCAAATTGTAAAGGGAATGGAGAGAGGGGAGGACGAACTTTGCATGTATCATGCACCAGGCGGCGACGAGGCCGGCAATGGCGCCTGAGGCGCCGAGGGAGGTTACGGTTAGTTTATTTTGGAGGACGTGGGCGGTTAGGGAGGTTAGGGAGGCGATGACGCCGGCAGAGAAATAGAGGGAGAGGAAGTCGGCGCGGCCGAGTTCTTCGTGGACTATTTTTGAAGGTTTGTTAGAGCCAGCGTTTCCTTTTAAAATTTACTAGACTTTGGGAGTTGAATTAAAGGAAAGGTGGGAGGTAATAGGATATGAATAATAGAGAATCATTGGCAATAAAGGTAAAACGTCACTTACGTCTTGTCCCGATGAACCACAAAATCAACATATTGGCACCTAGATGTCGGAATTGTTGGTGGCTGAATATGCTGCCGACAATGCTAATTGAGTACGGATACAACGGCACGCTGATGAAATATCGATTCAACATTCTCCAGGCGGGCGGGACGGCTCGCCACATGGCAAAGATGAGGACGTTTGCCCCAATGAGACCGATCACGGTTGCTGCGGCGGGGGGTGTATTGGGCATCAGGCGCTCCTGACGAGGTGCTGGCTCATAATTTTCGGCGAGGACACAGCAGAGGCCTATGGTAAGGAGTGTTATACAGAGAGAGGGGAGGATTCGGCTGGCCTGGTTGGTTTTTAGTTCCTTTAATTCCATTCTTCTCTAGTAAGGTTCTGATTGCGGCTTGAGACATACCTTCGAGAGTTTTGAGGTATCCAAATCCTTTGCTGTTGCCCGAAGATGATGTTTCTGCACCCAAGCCAACGCAGGACGGACATCCGGATCCGCACGAGGTTTAGCTAGAAGGGGGGTACCGGTTAGAAAAAGCCCAGCAAAACCATCACGGCAGATAAAAATTAAATGTGGAATGTGCAGAATATAGAAATACCTTCCATAACCGCGGCTTCCTCGAACTTCCGCAACTCCATATTTTTCTGAATGCTCCGCTTCAACTTTTCCCGATCCTTCGCCTCGCCTTCCAGCCACTCGCGTCTCCGCCGTTCATCCTCCAACTTATTCTTTCGCTCGTTCGCCTCCCTCGTTTCCTGCAGGATACTTTTGCCATAAACATCCCCTTCCTTCTCTATGGGTTTATCGAACTTCCCACTCTGCGGTTTATACAGGCCAAGCGCTTGACCACGCTTGATCAGCTTCTGCTCCTCTGCAATTTCTTCTCGTTCAATACGCTTTAGAATCGCAGCATCTTCGTCCACGGGGTATCTTTTCCGCAGCCATTCTAGTCCTGCTATTATCGTATCCTCCGCCACAACATTCTTTATATCAGCGGGGAGATCGACATCGATGGTACCGGAGATACGACGTGCTTGGAGTATTCGTAGCATTCTGTTGCCCAGCGGTACTGAGATCTGCGACTCTGAACCAAATATTTGGGAGAGCTCCAGAGCAGAGAGATCGCGGGCTCTGAACCGAGCGCCATCTTCGCGTCTCTTGAGGGGCGGAGGAGATCGGGGTGCTCTGGCGGCGAAGGTAGCGGAAGAGGAGAATGTGCGGGACGGAAAGGAGATTCGACGGGAATGACACGATTGGAATATGCCTGTAGGTTTAGTTGGAGATAGTATATTCTGGAAGGGATTGGAAATATTCTGCAGGCTACTCATAGAGCGGGTTGCAAAATTCCAGCCGTCAGGCCATATCATCTGGAGAAGGGCGAGGGGAGCTGCTTGGGGAGATGGCGAGGAGCGAATGCCCATGCACGGTCTTCGCCATGCCACCGAGAAAACATTGTTCATCTCCCACAGCTCAAGAGAGATCTCATCTGGCTACAGAAACGGCTTTCAATATCGTGAGTTGTAATTGTAGGAGTCTGAATTTTTTGGCGGGAGAACTTTAGCGCGGAAATGCGGCTCCGCCGGCGCCTATGTGCCGCTTATTAAGCGCGATTAGCGCCAGGTTTGCCTTTGATATGATGTTCAATTATAGCACCAAAAGGGCAAAATATCATAGCTACGCCGACATTGTTATGCTCATTTATGCATAACTAAGCTATTAATTGGATCTCATGGCTAATTACATTGTATTAGAACCTGAGGTGGAGCTTCTTACACAATTTTCACAACTTGCACTGGTGTTGAGCCTCAAAAACGTCTTATGTCATCCCGCCTTCTACATAGCTTACTTCCAAATATCAACAACCTCACACCTCTCTTCTTTATCTTGAAAACACAGTTTTGCTTCACCCTTAAGGCTGTTGGGCCCATTAAGCCTACTTGAGTTGTCACCCCACCTCAAATCCAAGCGTCTTCATTCTATTCCTATAGTTACGACCCCGACCATCACCACAGGACAAAACAAAATCAATTTCTAAAACAATGTCCGCCGCCTCCACCCCGATAACCCCACAAGCCTTCGCCGAAGCGCTAAAATCCCTTCCCCTCTCTTCCCTCTACGCCAAAGGCTCCGAGCTTCGCAACTCCATCGCCCACCTCCAGCGCTCAAACGATGAGTTGGCCCGGTACATAGCGGAAGAGTCACCGGACGGCCACGATAAGGACTGCGAAGATGCCATTAAGGAGAATGAGGTGGTTATTGTTCGTATGCAGGAGAGAATTGATCTTTTGAAGGTTGAAGTGGAGCGTAGGGGGAAGAGATGGAGTGAGGAGATGGAGATGGACATAGACATAGACGGGGACGGGGATATGAATGGTGGGGCTGAAGGGGATGTGGGCGTGGGCGTTGGGGTTGCTGACAGCGGGCCTACGGGAACGGGAACGGGAACGGAAACGGAAACGGAAACGGGGAGTGGGATAAATGCCGGTAACAATATCCTAAATGGAGATGCCCAAACAACGACGGGGCAACATGCTCAGCCCCTCAGTAATCAAAATAATAGCGCTGCTAGCGCGGGGCGGAATGGTTCTGGTGGTGATGATGAGATGCAGGGAAGTGAGGCTGGTGTGTATTTATGAGCTACGTTGCTCATCATTTCATCGTTATATTGCTGTCGATTGGATGTCTCGGCCCACTTCGCCTTTCCCTTGTTTTTAGGGTCAATATCGATAACATGGCCGAGACATGTTACGGGGTTTGATATTCTATTATTCGCCGTCGATTCCCGATGTGTCGCTTTTGGCCCCCTATTTATTTGTCAACTATCCTGCCGAGGAAATACGGACCCTGGCTCTGTGGCTGCCTGGCCTTATGAGGCGTCTGAAACATGCCTTCAGCCATCAGCCCTATTTGAGAACGGGGTGCCAGGAAGGTTGAACGAAGAGTTGGGTTGGAGGGTCAGGGGAGTTGTGTGATGTCGCTTCGCTTTCGCAAGGAAGTGTGCTTTAGGGTTTGGTTTATCGGAAAGTTATAATAGCCTGGTAGGGCGAGGAAATGTATCCGGGGCTAGCAGAAAGTGAAGAACAGGATCTACCCATGCCACCTATTTATTTATACTTAAAGAAACGGCCGGACTGCGTAATGTTTCCGTCGGGACAACGAAATGAGCCGGAAGCCGCAGTGACTTAAAAAGGCTTGTAGAAAGCTTAAACTTAATACATTGAGAAGCCTTGAGACATTAAAAAGAAAACAACCGTTGCAGGGTTTATTGCAGGATTTTGGTTGAATGTAACTAAGTCAGTGATTGCCGTCCTCGCCGAAGCGCAGCTCCCTCGAAAACAATTGTTTAATTTTAAATTGCCCGCTAGCTACCTGAGAAATTGATTGGCTGGTTGCTGGAGACATGCAAAATCAATATTTATGCGAAGAAAAAGCGAGCAGGGCAGTTTCAAAATGAGACTTTAAAATGGAGGGAGAAACGGAAAAATGGGAATCAAAGTGTAAAAAAGAAAATCCATGCAGACATATGCCCATTCCCGAAGAACAAAATGAAATAACAAACGAAAAGAAACAAGGCCCAATAAACATAAGATATCTGGGTCGAGGGCTTCAATAGCTTTAAAAAAAATCGCCGATAAGAATAATGAAACGGGATATGCCCAGTTTGGCCTTCTCTCCCCTGAGTGACAAATATGATTAACGCCCTTGACTTTATGATATGCGTCTCCATCCCCACATTGCAATCCATAGTTAGGTCTCTAATTGGAAGGTGCAGTGGTAGGAGCAGGAGGGCCAGCAGGTGTAGGCGTCGACAACGACGTCTGTTGAGCCCAATGGCCAGCGAGTGCTTCTGGAGGGATCTTCTCTTGCTTGATGTAGATGTCGATCAAAGGTTGCATGGGCTCCATTTCCTTGTCTGCAACAAGTTTGTAGTACTTCGCGACAGTCACGAAATGCACGAAGCACATATTAAGAACTTCATGCTTGTTGATGTGGAAGAAGGGATTTTCCCAATGACCATGGTACAAATGCGCATAACAACGGAACATTTGCTTCATGATTCCCTGGCAATCTTTGTAGAAGGTTTGGGGGAATCCACTGCTCTTGCCAATCCAATCTTGGGTAGATGGGTTGGTAGGTGGGGTAGAACTTGTGCCGCTCGGATCACTCGATGACACAATTGGTGTTGTTCCTACAGGAGTGCTCTCTGTGGGAAACATCACTGGGTCATGGATTTTACTGACGATCCATTTTTCAACTCTGTTGATGAATTTGGGGGCAGATATCCTAGCCGCTCTGCCATCGACCAGCCAGGTGTAGGTCAGGCTAACAAAGAAAAGAGGTCAAGTCAGTATAATCGGGGTAGTAGTAGATTGCGGGGAAGGCTAATTCAGCTTACCGGCCTGCAGACATGGTAGGACAAGTGTTTTCATTGCATATAGGGAGGCCGGTTAGGCCATTTATTTCCTGAATAACTTGAAGCATGCCATGGAGAAGACGATTTTGCTCCACAACTAGAATATTGAGTTTCAATTAGCAGGTGTTTCAGGGAACGACACCAAAAATAACCCCAAAGGCCCGACATACTCTGATGTGCCAACCATTCGCCAAGCTCGACGTTCTTGGGACAAGCGCAGAGAGTCAGAAAATTGCCTTTGACGTTAAGCATAGCATACTTCTCCTGGAAGAAGTACTTGGTCGAATCATTGTCGTTCGTAACGCTGTCGACGCTGAAAGTGGAAGAAATTGAGGGAGAATTCATGAGACCGGACGAATGAGAATACCCTGCTGGCGGTTGATTCTGAGCACCGTTATTCAGCCTCGGGGGGTTATTGTTGTTATTGTTGTTATTGTTGTTATTGTTGTTGTTGTTTTTGTTCGACCCCCGGCCAAACCCCTGGCGGCTATTGTCGCACAGTGGTCAAGTCAGCAGGTGAGGCTTTAAATAAATAGGTTTCAAATTCAGGGGGCCAGAGACAAGCATCGTAGTAGAGTTTGGCAGCACGAGGTGGTATGGAGGAGGGATGTAAAGTAGCAACAAAGAACCAGAACTGTGGGCAGTAACAAGACAAAGACAGCGCTGCAGCATCCCTGAGGCCTGGCTGGCGGGGGAAGAGAAAGAGGCGGGATACCTACACACTCTGGAAGAACGTCGCCATGATTCAGATCACACGCAGCCAGGGAAACTCTAGTCACGACACAAACAAATGGCAGTCAGAGCATCCCAGGTTAGCAATGACAGATGGCTAACACAGCCGATGCACACTCAAAGAGGGGGACAAAAAGCCGTTGCTGGAGAGTTGGATACAGCGGATTGTTTGGCTGCAACTTTTGGTTGGAGAGACAGCTGGAACATCCAAACCGCTTATGTCATCGCGAACATGGCGGATTATCTTATTTCCGATATTGATAAGGGACTTTCTATATCGGGTTTAGCGCCCCTGACCTCAACTTTCTCTCTGTCGCAAGTTGACGACGGGGATGGGGATAAGTCAATCCGAGCTTGCTTCTCCCTTTGAAACAACGTTTTTTCGCGTCAATACAGTCTACATTGTGGACTAATACACCCGCGATCCTGAATTTTCTTTCGGATCTGAAATATTCCAGCAAGCAGAGGGGTTAGAGCTACTCAGCTCTGCAGGAGCTATCCTTTAGCTTCCTCGCCATGTCTTCGGATGACGATCACCAAAGTCAACTTTCGGAGGAGAACGAGCGAAAACATGCTTCTGATGCCTCCGAAAGGGGAGCTAATGACGCCTTGAACTTTGACGATGAGCAAATTAACGGAGACGACGACGCAGACCTTTTTGGTTCTGAATCAGAGCCTGACGAGTACGTTTATTTTTTTCCCCTTGTGTTTTACTACCAGGAAAAGGAAACGGCAGCTAACTATATATTAGGCACAAGCCGCGGAGACTCGATGATGAGGAACTGGATTCTGGCGATGACGAAGGTCGCTATGACCGGCTTGGCTCCCCCATGGATGAGGATGGAATGGACTATACGGAGTCGTTAAACGTCATGGACCTGAGTCTCAGTCGTGTACCAGAACCAGAATCTACAGACGGAGAGGTACTGTGCTTTTCTGTATCAGATATTATTTCCGTGAGATGTTGTACTAAAACCAGCTCCTGCAGGTCTACACTTTGGCCATACCAAATTTCCTCGCTATTGAGTCCGAAGACTTCAACCCAGAAACATATGTTGCTCCGCCCTTTAACTCAGCATCTACATCCCTCTGTTGGCGCTATGATCCAAACGATGGTGAGATGCTTCAATCGAATGCTCGGATTGTCCGCTGGTCAGACGGTTCATTGACCCTCCAACTTGCATCGAATCCAAAGGAGCAATATCGAATGCCATCTAAAAGGCTCGCTCGTTCTAACAAGGCGCGAAAAGCTACTGACTACGATTCTGAGTTGGATGCACACGCTTATCTCGGCGCAGCTGCTGAAGCTTCTTCAGTGTTCCGTATTACCTCTCACCTTACGTCGTCGCTAAGCGTCCTCCCAACAACGGTGGAAACCGACGACGCTGTCCAACGGCTCAAAGAGTCATTGGAAGCTGCTGCGAGGGGTGCAAAAAAGAACCCGGATGGCACTGTCACCATGTTTGACGTCGCTGAAGACCCAGAATTGGCCAAGAAACGTGCTGAGCTTGCAGAGCGTGAGAAATTGCGAGCAGATCGTAAGCGTCAGCTGGCCGCAGACCGTGATCTTGACCGAGGAAGGCGTGTCGGTATTTCCTATAGAACCGGAGGAGGTGGGCTCACTGTTGCTGGATTAGAAGGCGACGATGATATGTTGACCACCAGAGCCCGTGGCGCAAAGAAACCCAAACGGAGACCTAATCGTCGCGGGGAGATATATTCCGATGAGGAAGATGAGTACGATCGAAGAGGACGGACAAGGGAAGATGAGTATGACGAAGATGACGGTTTCCTGGTTGGTAGCGATGAAGAACCAGAGATTATGGAGGATGAAGACGAAGAGGAAGAAGAATTTGAAGACGGAGATGCCGATGCCGAAGGAGAAGTTGATGAGGAAGCGCCACAGAAACCATCAAAGAGAGAGCCCTCACCAAAAAGGTCACCAGTGGAGACCCTTCGGAAGAGTGCTGAACCTGAAGTTGGATCACCGCCTGCCAGGAAGAAAAATCGATATGTCGTTGATGATGATGAAGATGATGAGTAAGGAGGGCAGATCTTGTGCCTGGAACAACAATAATGCCCTCTTCGCCTCTCCTTCCTCTCTGGCCGTTGGCAGCACAACCACTGACGCCGTATTTTGCTTCTAATAATAATATTTTATGGGAATTAATATAAAAGCGGAACCCGAAATGATACTTGGCCCCCAATAAAACTCGCGTCCCACTTCCCGAGCGCTACAGAAGCGCAAAACCCCTTGACAGCCCCGCGGCAGATCTATGCTTGGGGGTGTCAACCGGCCTTGTACAATATTTTTGTTCGCCTGCATAATTTTTCACCCTTTACTTGGACACTACGAAACTTGGCGCATATCCCACGCATGACGTCTAGACTTCGGGTATTGTGATCATGCGGAAATGGAAACCAAAAATTAAAATGACAATACAAACTGTTCAACAATGAGATCCCCTTTGCCCTTTCCAGTTTTATTCTAAAACCCTCTTGAAATTCCTAAGATAAGAGCATTCTCTTTGCAAATATATTGTGACAAGGTTCTTCGCCACAACCCTTGATGTGTGTCAAATCAGCAATCTCTCAATACTTGCAAGAATTATGCTTCGTTGTTTTCACTTGGCATTGGTGGAAAATCTGATAACAACCCCGACAAGGAGCCTGAACCCTCAGTCCTCACCATCCCTCCCTTTCAACGCCAGGGCATTATTTCCCCTCAAAGCCTTACTCCCCTACAAGCCAAGAAATAGATGGAAAAAGAAAAGCAAAGAACAGAGCTAGCACTCAAACCCAACTAGCATTCTTCCTCCCTTTTCTTTTCTGGCCCCCACCCAACTCGTAGAAAGGCTAGAAGCCACCCAGTTTCAAACCCCACATCATGAAATTTGTTGGAATAACTAGTAAAATGGAAATAATAAAATCGGGCTTTGAGGTATCAGCCATAACATCCCCGCGTTCTCAAGAGGGCTTTGCATTAGCTTCGTTCGCATCTGGATACCACCATAGTAGCTCCTAGTATCCTCGAGTCCCTCGGATGAAGAACACGCATGTAACCCTTTTTGTTTTTCTTGCTTCGTTCCCAAGTTTTCTTAGCCAAAAACTAGGGCTAAGTTACTTATTTTCGTTGTTACTCTCATTTAGTTTTTAATTGTTTTCCATACATACATATACTGGAAAGACAGCTGAAAAACAAAAGCAACTATCACCAAGGGTCATGCTTATTTGATCTAGGCAGTGGAGGAAGACCTGTAAGGAAAGAATAAACTTTTAGCGCAGCACACAAATCCATGGCGATCCGGTCATATATAGTAACAATGGGGCTTTAAAAAAAAAAAGTTTTAGCTAGAAGAAACTGCTTGGTGGTTATTTTCACTCCATTTCAGAACAAGTCATGAGATATTTTCATTTGCCTTTTCTTAATCGCCTCTCATCTTTGCTTGCGACATAGCGGTCAATTCATTAATAATCATACCTGCATACAAGTCAGGCTAGCTTTGGACTATTGAACAAGGCAAGGCAGTAGTTATCCTCGATGATCCGAATGTGCCAAACAAACCGGCAGCTCATGTCCCTCGCGTCCCCCTTCCAACCTCTTGCCCCCCTCCCATCCCCCCCACTATCAAAACACATCCCACCAGACGGGAAAGATCATACGACCCCAATCCCTATACCCCGGGAACTCCAACTTCTTCACTCCTCACAGCACAGTTTCACAGTCCCAAAGGCGCAGAACTGCCCAGATGACATGCGGGCACACTCCGGATCATGGCATGTTCCGTCATCGTTGGAAGTAGACGCGCAAAATGGCTTCTCATCGCGGGGACATCGGGCATTACAGAAGGGGGCTGTGCCATACCACCGCTTCTTAGCTGTTGCTGTCGTTATGGCGGTGGAAAGGACGCAGAGGACGACCAGGGAGAATTTCATGCTGGGGGGTTATTTGGCTGGTTTATGTTGGGTTGGTTTTGGGGCTTTTCACTTTTTTGCGTTTGGAGCTTGTTAGCAAGCTATCCTGGTAAGGGTGTCAAAAGGAAGTCCTCGGTGTCCCATAAATATTTATTGACAGACGGTTAGATGCAAGATGTGGAGATTCTTTTCGGAATCATCGCGGAGTTGGGCACTAGCTGCTTACACTGCAGAATTTCTAGGCTGATACACGCGTGCTTTTGAGATGCCTGTTCAAAGCAGTCCGACGGAATTCTGAGCAATTGGGGGGATTTTTGGTTTTTCCAATCTAGATAGAAAATTAGCGCTCTGACGTCCATATGTCAAGTTTCGACTCGGGAAAAAGGTTGCAACCTTACATTTGCAAGAAGCGCGTTCTCATGACATGTACGTAATAATGTACATGTAGCTCTGTAGATATCTAAGAGTTGTGATATTCGCAGGATTGGAGAAAGTACATATTCTCCCTGGGGGCCCCCTACCTCTATCAATGCCATTGTGACTCCTTTCCCATGTTTTAATTGTGTGGAAGAACCTTGGGACGGGCGTTCATGTGGAATGCATGACTGCAAGTATTTGTTTGTTCTCTGAGAACATTTCAACTCGAGATGCAGCGGAATCTTGCAGACTTGAATTTCAGCTTCCTGCTAGATTTTCACTAGCAGCAAAATCACCTGGTCTGTTTTACCGTGCCCTTCTCTTGCATACCATTTACCCCGCAAGTGTGGAACCAAATCGTACATACATACATAGTATAGCGGCACACAGGTTGCCTGTCTGTTGCAAACGGGCCGGTTTGACTTGTTACACTGCATCGAATCGAGCTGCAAAATCAGATTCATATCCCCCTGTTTATGTGCTTCTTTTTGCAAAACCAGTTAGTCAGTTCTTCATCCCCTCTCAACATGCCATGCACTAAAAGCTGCAATACCCTTCAACCAAAGGAGGCCAAACCACCTTCGCTTTGTGCGGATAATCGGGCTGAATACGTCCAGGCGTCCTCCTCCCTGATGATGCTTACTGGACTGATAGGGAGGAAGGGCTCTCCTCACCCACCCCGGTTCGGATAAGCAAGACCAGACCGAGGTTGTGAATCTCAATCTCAGCGTCTGATTCGAGGAAAGACGAGCAGCAAGCTACAATATTTTAAACGCGACGGGACAAGCCAATGCAGGGGCTCTTTTGGGGTGGGGGAGGGGGGTTCGACAAAAAGCATAAATCTAAATTCAGTGTAAAATATCCGCCATAGGGCCACAATATGAGTGGCGTATATCGGAGCGAATATGCAGGAAGAATGACAGACCCTTGGAGTGAACTTATCCCTGTCATCATTTGTGGTTTGAAAGAAGTTGCATTGGGAATGAAATCACTTCCGCTGTACTCCGTCCGTTAGTAGTACGCAGTAAGTTGATGGATGTAAGCCATTATAAGCCACTACGCTCTGTTCGTGCAACGTTTCCGCAACCGGTCAGTGCGAAGCTTGGCATGAACTTAGAGCCGCAGGGCCTTCCTTATATGGTTAGACCTCAACTAACTTGTTAAACCTGATTATTACATAATCTGAATCTGATTAGTTAACTAACTATAAACAGCCACAATCTGGGCATTTTTAAGCCTAGATAGAAATTATTTTACGGATAGTCGATAAGTCAGTTCTTGACAGGAAATGATAGTCGGTTCTTTTTGAACAGAGTTCTGGCCGTGTTCAAAAAGAACGGGCAGAATAATAGAGCTATTCTTTTTACCTCATTTAGTTTTAGAGAAGCTTCACTTTTCACCTCTGATTGACACTAAAAACACTAGAAAAGTCAAATCTTGATTACTCTTTCATTTTCAAAAATATCATCTGTATTTTTGCTTGTATTGATCAAAACAAGTGTATGACTGACTTGTGCACCGAACAGGCTCTTTTGTTGGCGTTTGCAGGATCCAATCTCGTAACGCTATAACTACTTATTATTACTCAACCGATTAGCACTCAAATGATTTGGAAAGAAACAGAGGTAAATGATCCTGATTGCGGGGGGGTTGAGAAGATGTTGTGTTGCTATAATTATTTTCTATCCGCCAATCTCGGAGTTGCTGTCAGGAGCTGCTCCGACTCGCTACCTATCCGGGCGCCCCCCACTCAGTGCAATATCATGAGAATATATTTACGCCGTTAGCATTAAAGCTCGCAACAGCGGCAATACCGGGTACCTCCCCTTATGTCCGGCATTTAGAACAAGGGAAAGGAGGTAACATAATGATATCAGGGTAGCCTTGAGCGAGTTTTCGAAAAAGTTTGGGGGCCGCAAAAAAAAAAAAAAAAAAAAAAAAAAAAAAAAAAAAAAAGCAAGCCACCGTTTTGGTTCAGCGGTGAGATTGATCTGCCTATTTAAGTTATTACTACTCCGTATATGGTATGGAGTTAACGGGTTTGCAGGTTCGGGAGATCTATCCACGGCGGAGGTATGTATGTAGATACATATACTCTGTATAGCGTATTCCATACCGGTAGTTCAATGGAAGCCGGATCGGCTGGGCGGGCCTCGGAGCTTAGGGCCACTCGTATTTTTCCCAGCTCCCCGATCAAGATCTCACACTGTCAGAACTACGGAGTATAGCAGGCGTGAGCTACGTCGGGATAGCCGTGGGTTTCACGTACGGCAGTAAAATGCTAACTAATTATATACTGTACAAAGTTCACGCTTGCCAAACGGCTGCTGGACTCCGGAATTCGGGGTCCGATTCATGGTTGATCTACTCTGTATCTTTGTCCGAACGGCCAGGATCCGCGGGCTATTCGGCCATTCGGTGCTCGATAAATTTTGTCCACGGACATGACATGATTCTGGGGGGGGGGGGGGGCTTGACGGTGTTGGTTCCCACTTTCGCTAGGGTTTCAAGAATCGAAGAGGTGGCACGAGGCCTGAACGCCGCCACGATTCGCTTCTCCAGAAAGAAGCCTAGGAGATAGGCAGATTGGTATGTCCATTCCATACTTTCCTCGGCTTAGTGAGATACCAGAGTTGCTGTTGCTCCTATATGGATCCGCTAAAGCTGTGGCACTATGAATAGCTTGTCAAAGTGGGTTTCCAGCGAAGAGCCTTGCTAGCTCGTTGGCGGCCGGGAAAACAAGGGTTAGCTTCCTGACCCAGGGGGTGGGGGGGAGAGGGAGTGTTGTGTATACGTGTGTGTATTATTATTATTATTATTTGTGTCTGTCTGTGGGTAGCAGCTAGTGTGATCGCGCTAGAAGGTCGGAGATATCGTACGGAGAGAGAGGGTTAACTTATTTAGCCTCTTAACTGTGAAGAAACACACGCATGGCGGCGCTAAGATTGCATGGTCTTCTGGAACGGCCATGGAAGTGCCATATCTTTATCCTTACTCGGCGTCATTGACTGATATTCCCTGGGCGAGGGTATGGACGCTGTCCAGTGAGCCCTCTGTAAGGCCGAGGGAGCCTTGTTTTTACAGTTTCGCCGAACTTCCCCTTATCTTTCGGCTCTGTTGTATGCTACATGTACATAAATTATGTGGCTAAAGTTCCATGGCAAAGTAGATTTATAGATTCGCTAGGTTGCACACGATACAAAGGTCACTTACTAACTATATGTACGTCAAGGTAGGGAGAAAATAGCTACAGAAGATCCTTCTGAAAACCAAGGGTAGACGAGGGAAGAGGAAAACGCGAACAAAAGAAAACATACGCATGCCGTCTATGTTTTTGGCGGGTTATCAGGTAAAAGCTCGGAGGGAAATGGATAAAGGAAAGAAAAAAAGGGCAAAGAAAAAGAGAAACAAGAAAACATCAAATGCCCAGGAAATGCCTATCTACCAATAATCTTTCGTAGCAGGAGCTCAGAAGCAAGAGAAATAAATGCCCAGAATAAAGTAATATGAAGGAAAACAAATAGAAAGTAAAGTAAGAGAGAAAAACCACGAAAGCACAAAATCATCCCATCATCTCTTCGTCACTGAACTCAAACCGCTCTATCACCTGCCTGGCTGTACCTGCTGTGCGGGTACACCAATATTCGGCATCTTGCTGTCGGTCAGCCTCACCTGCGGGCTGGTCACCGCTCGTCCTGAACACTCCCGCTCCCGCTCCTGTTCCCCCTCGGCACGCAGACGGGGGTCTGGGCTGGGCGTGCCACAACCGCTGCCTAGTCTCCAGCTCCTCGATCAGAGTGAGCAGGCTAGGGCTTTCTGCGCTCTCCTCTTGAACAGAATCAACCATAGGAGTAACAGCGCTGCCGATTACTGCATGCCTGACAACATGGCGCAGCCATCGCTTCCACCGCCGCTGTCGCTCGCCGGGGTCTGAAGGTAGAGAGGCAATGAAGGATGGGGAGAGGACGTCTCTACCCAATTGCTCCGCGTCCATTTGGGAGATCTTGAACCAGGTGTCCCCGATCACGTTGAGAAGGCTTCCAAGTATCATCAGATTCTGCACGGAGCTGTGGAAGGCCTGGGGGCATATTTCACAGTATATGACCCCTCTGGCATTACGTGCTGCGTTGTAAAGCGTAGATAAGGTTTGCGATGAGGGCGGAAAGCAAGTGATCGTGGACAGAGAGTTGAGACATAGATACATATAGGAGACACATGAGCATGGCGCGAGAGGTTGTACTTGCCGGTACACTTCAGGGCTTGTTACGGGGACCGAACCTAGCGGGAAAGGAGTTGACGTCGTTGGTGGGGTGAACACGTCGATGCTGGAGGAGTGCGAGTAAGATGGTGGTGTTGGATAAGGCGAAGATGGTACTTGGATGGAAGCCTGTCCGTCACCCTGTTCCCCGTACATCGGGTTGCTAGAGACACTTAGGCTTGGTGACATCATATATGAGGTATATGGAGTGTCCATGGCAGCTCCAGGGACTGGCGGCGCCTGTACCATCCCAGGAACAAATCGTGAATAATCAGGAAATTGTGGTGCAATAACTGCGGTATGTGCATCTTCCTGTCGCACCCTGGACTTTGGCGGGCGGCCCATCGGTTTCTGGATAGAGTAATGGCAGTATAGGTTCTGCTTCACGCATCGACTACAGCCGCCGGCTTCGCCAGAGCATTTCAACTTCCGCTGTCCTGATATCTCTCATCATTAATGAGGAAACATCAATATGCTGTTGTAGGGCGATTTGTAAGACTTACTACATTCATCACAAGCGGCATGCCTCTTGCGAGAAACGCTTGATTTCGTCATAGGGCCGGCTGAAGGATTACGTGAGAGCGACATTCTTATTTCTGCAATGGCTGCCATTATGGAGGAAAAGGAAAATCCCGAATCAAAACTAAAGGGAAGGCGACGGATTATATACAGTTTTGTGACATCCCAAAGCCTTACTCTCTAAAAATGAAGAAAGATATTTCAAATCTAGGGCTCCAGCCAGTAAACTTACTCTGGAGAAACTCGCCAAGTTGTTCGCCGGCTAGAGGTTTGCGCCTTACCCTTCCTAATAAGCCACATCATTAAGGATCGACCTGGTTTGCCTAAACTCAGCTGTACCGATATCATTACCGTCTTCACTTGAATTTGCCGGGACGAGGTTTCCAGCCATCAGTCAAGGAAGGTGTAATAATGTGTAATGTATGTAAGCAAGGTGTCTTGGCCCTGTTCACAATATGGCACGATATTCGTCTCTGCAATGAATTTCGTCCCGAGGGTTCAGTTTCATCACGATGATAGCGAATGAGCAATGCCAGGGTGGAACATCTCCCCTGCATTCCATCAGTTGAGTAAACCATGTAGGTGCTGTGCTAGCCATATATTATCCCTGGGATCCCTGGGATCCACTGCCGGACTGGAGAAGCGCAAATGCAACCGTTGCTCTATATCCTATTAATGGAACTCGAACTTGATTGCTTTCCAATAACGGCCCCGAAACAGGCTAAATTAAGAATAGCTTAAAAATACCTGGTTGAGGAGAGGAGAGGAGAGGAGGGATTCACTCGCCAACTCGTTATTATTAAAAGAGCCTGGACAAAATAATAATAATAGTTAAATAAATAACTTAGTTAATAATGTCGCGGTTGGTTTGGCCCCCTGGCGTTAGGGTTAAGGAGCGCCCGATGAGGAAATGCTGAAATCTAAATGTGGAACACGGCGAGCCACGTGACCGCCGCCAGCCGCACAGCCCTTCCCAGGATTTCAGAAGGGTTAGGCAATAGGCAAACCAGCGACAGAGGAAACGGGACTAACAATGCAATAGTATTTATTATCCCGTCGGCTGCTAGCGGGGCCGGTGGATGACTCGACTTGTATATTATTATTATTAAGCTAACATTAATCCGTGGTTAATATAAGTAACTAGTTATAGTTAAGTTAGTTAACTTAATTAAGGGATTCGAGGTTTCCTTATATAATCATCCCTGGGTAACCGGAACCGGAATTATTATCTACCGATACAAAAACTCATTGGCGCTTGATTTCTCGCGCTA